TTCTCAAGAAAAATAATTGCTAGCATAATTGGGTGAATCTTCTTTCCTTCTACCATAGCATTTATAATAGACTAGGAGCTGATGTACTAGGCCACCAGACCTGGGACCTTCTGGGCTGCAAACTTACTGACTCCATCGTAGGCAAATCTCATTTATCTTTCTGAAAAGCCTAGATTTTACCCATATCTTCTTGACAAAACTGGAGAAGTGGGGGTGATAGACGAAGCAGTAAGAACTGCAATGGCACACGCCCCACCCAGGGGAGAAAAAGCTCCCAACCAAACAAACTCAATCCTCCCCCCAAAATACGTTTAGCTGCGCGAATGGGCAGGAGAAGAGAGCTTGTGGAAGTGTGGCAGCCCTTCAGAAGTAAGTAAGCTTAATTACTGTAGGGAGCGAGGTTTTAAACATGGCTAAAAGTGCAGACAAAGTATTTTGCCCTGCTCCAGACGGGACCATAGGAAACCTATGCCCATAGCCAGCCGCAAGGCCCAGGCTGGGCTCCCGACCGGTGGGATAGCTGATGGCTGTTTGTACCCTCCACTGTTCTCCTTTGGAAATGCTAACTCGGTTATTCAGCTTCTCCTTTGATGTCCTGATAGGTGCTATTAGATAGTCAATTAGGCATCAACGAGATCGATTGTTTCGGAATAGATGCTTTTCTGTTTGAAGTACCTGTGAACGCTAACAGTGCCATCACCCCGCCGCTCCTTTGCCCACGGGAACAATGCGGGCTAACACACAATAAATGACAAATGCTACTGACTCACCCGGCAGCCTTTTCCCTCCCGGCTCACACGCTGCAAGCCCAGATACTCCTATTCAGGGACTGTGGGAGCAAATACTCACTTTGCATTAAAAAAAAAAATTATCGGGGAAATATTTCTGTGTTCTTTGCAGAACTAGTGGACAAAGAGCCCAGATAAGTGAAGTTAGCTCGAAACAAACTAGTACTTGAATTTCTATGCACGCCATTGCTACCTTGCCTGAGGACTTGTGACACCTCCACAGTTGTTCAGAATTTTACAGGCAGAATAACTAAGAGCTGAAATAAGAACTGAAGCACTTAACCTGCCTGAATACCAAAGAGACGGTAGGATTAGCTCCCTACTAAGTACTGTTACAGGGTAACACCAGGTCGAAGCCTAGGAGTTTAAGAGACAGCTATAAAGGAAAAGTAGTAAAGTCTATACAAGGAACACGTCGAGACCAAGAGGTCTCTCCTCTTTATTTCTCCCTCCGCTTCGGTGGGATTTATCAAGTTAATTGTCATCTAATTACGTATCAAAGAAAAAGATAATGGGCAGCAATTAGATGTAATGGCCTGACAGTGTGAGATCTCTCTCGATTAGCACACAACACCGAATAACTTCACCTGGTTTTTGAAGAGGTCCCTGCAGCGGCTCCACCGTGTCTGCGAGCTGCGGGGGGGGTGATATACCCCGATCCTATTCCCAGTCCCCTGATGGCTGCTCTAGCCAAATTGGGACGGGCGGTACCGCGCGCGGCTGCCGGCGGCTCCCCCACCCCGCGGTGCTAATTCAATCAGGTTGCTCCCCCTCCGCTCACGCACTGCAGGGGACAAAGGCTTTGAAGTTAGCGTGCTGGCGATTTCCCCCCCCTCCCATTCTCTTTTCCTCCCGGGGGAGCCCAGTTTCCAGGTTATACAGCCTCCTCCTCGAGAACCGTCGGGCCGGGAGTTCCGGCAGTTTCACCCCCAGAAGCATTAAGCTGCTCCTTAAACTGCTCCTCCCCAGCTAATCGACTCGGCCTTTTTGGTTTTTGTTGTTGTGAGTTCCACCCCCCTCCCCATTTGTAGCTGGCTTGCCCACACCGCTTGGTCCTGCCAGAGAGCATTCCGATGCTGGGGTTTATTGTGGTGTGACACAAACTGGGGGGCTGCTCCCCACTGTGCTGGTGGGGCGGCCCGGAGGTTGCTGCGGGGGCGTTCGGCGGGTGCGGTGCGGGAGGAGCCAGACTGTTCCGATCTCTTGCGAGGGGCTGCGAGAGAGCAGAGGGCCTGCGCTGACACCAGTGCCCCTTTATTGCTGCCAGGAATAAAACACAGCGGATGAGAAATTCAAACAAGCAGGAATAAAGCATGAAGTTTGACTTTCTTTCTCCTAGATAAAAGGAAAATCTTGCATTCATGTTATAGTGCGAGAATTGGACCACTTTAGCAAAAATTAAATAATTTCACATATAGTTTTCTAGAACACTGGAATGCAGTAGTTACCTTCTAGAGAAAGCTGACTTTTGCAGGTGGAAGAGGAATTATCATGCGGATATTCGGAGGAATCCGCTAGTACTAGGCACTCAGCCAAGTGAGCATCATCTTTTGAATTCATTTGAGCAATTGCCGGGAAAGGGAGCAATATTTGCAAGCTAGCGCTGCCAAAACACTGGCAAGGCATTTCAAGTGCTTGCTAAGTATACAGGTGGCCAAGAAGTCATTATGTTAAGTGACCATTAGCACTCTTTCCGAGACCGGCTTCTGCCACTCCAGCCGTTCTGCAGCTCGTACGCCCAGAGATAGGTCACCCCGTTAGTGCCACTAAGCAGCCCTCGCCCCTGGCACGGGACACGGGGAGCCGCATACACCCACCCCGCACGCAGAACCATCACCTCCGAGACTGCCCCGTGGTCGGTGCAGCTTGACCGCACAGCCCCGCCTGTCCCGGCGTGGACCCCACCATCCCCGTGGGCTTAAATCATGCAAGGATCGCAGCACTACGTGTTGCTCCGAGCAGCTCCCGTTGTCTCTTGTCTTGCTCTAAACTTTCGCACGGAGGGGAAACTGTTCCCCCGCTCGGTCGAGCCGAGCTCGGGGGCGAGTGGGTGCAGCCCGGGGCCGGCACCGCATCTCTGCCCCTTCGGACGGGCCAGACTGACCCGGGACTGCAGCGGTGCCGGGGGCCGGGAGGGCAGATCCGGGGGATGAGGGCCCAGACAGAGCTGCCCCAGAAGACGTCTTACTGGGAACACTTGGGGACTCGAAAAAGTGTGCTCCTGCCTCTCCCTCATTACCCTTAGGTTGGGGAGACGGCGACACCCCCTCCTCCCCCGCACGAACCCTGTCCCCTCGGAAACAGTTCCCCTCCGCAGGTGGGAGCACTTTGTTCTCCCCCTCTCCTCCTGAGTCCTTTCATCTGTCTCTCACTTTCCCCAGGCCCAGCTGAGGTGCTGCCCGTTCCCACTTCCCTTTCACCCTCTCCCCATTTGGTCCGGGGTTGGGGTGCTCCCGCAACGCTGCTGCAGGTAGTCCCGGTTCCAGTCGGTCCCTTCAGAGCTCCCTCCCTTCGTCCCCCAGACCGCCGCTCTCGCCTCTGAGAGCAGGAGGGACTATTACTGTTCCTTTTGTACGGGGTGAGCGGAGCATTTGGAGTAGAGACGGGGTTCTCCACTGTGGCCGTACAAGATTATAAAGAGAACCCCTAACCCTTCAATTATCCTCTTGAAAACGGAATAGCCACATCGACTCTCACGCTTAACACTTTTTTAAAAGTAAATTATATATTTATTGGCCTTGACTATTTTGGTATTTTAAACGTCATTGCTTTAGAGCAAGAGGAAAATATTCACCATTTCAGAGCTTTCTGGAGACATTCCAGTTTCCTAATGACATTTGAAGGAGTCTGAGAGATTTCTTCGAATAAATAAGAGTTTAGTAATACCTGACTTCGAGAAATAAGCCTCCATTGAATGGGAATTTTAATCAATTGCAAACAAATAGTAGTATCTCAAAAGGCTAGAAAAATACAGCACGGATTACAAAATAATTAATGAGACTTCCAAATGTGTCAGCAAAACCCGCTGCCCGCAGCGGGTTGCTTTTTACTAGACAAATGTACTCAAGCGGCAGATTGGCCCCTGTACGCAAAAGAAAAGAGGCGTTTTCAAGGATACTGACAGAGAACCTTCAGAGACCATTCATTACAGAAACCCAGATTACAAATGTGCTGGAAATCTTTCAATAATCCCTGAAATCACCTCTAATGTGGAAATATTTATTGCTCTTTTCATGTTAGTTGACAATTGACTTTGAAAGATTTATGTCAACTTGCATGAGTCAAGGATCACTTACTTCTCAGAGCCCTTTCTCTGGCCTGAAATCGGGCCATTTTGACCATAAGTTTACTAGAACATTATTCAAATTTTAAAAGTGCACAGCAGAGTGGGAAGGAATTTTACTGCCACTTACAGAAAAACAGCACTGGAATGCTAAATTTCTTTTGATCATCACTCTCATACCCCATTACCTGCATGTGAGATGATGAGATACTATTTTGTAGATTAGAAATTTCAAGATCCTTTCCATGATCTGTTTAGGCAAGATGTTCTTACTAATCTACTGAAGCTGCACGTGAAAGCATGAAGATATATTATCATACTTATTTAGAAAGCAACTTTTTACATCTCAAGATACTACAAATATGTTTTTTAAGGATCTCCAACAAAAACATCTGTTCCACTACTATAGCAAGCCCAATATTAAGTAACAGGTGTATCCACATATTTGGTTAAAGGCACAGTCCCATGGCAGAAAATCCCATCTAGGAAGTAGCTGAAGGGGTTGGATACCTGTTTTAGAAGGCAGGGGGAAATTCACACTTTTTTGCACTCATGCTCAGTAAATTGCAGAGGGGCAAAACAAATCTAGAAAATGAGAAGTCTATGCTTCCTTTAATGAAGAGGAGCTTTCTTTTGGGGCAGAATGAACAGCTCTACAATCCCTGTGGAAGGAATTCACATGAAAGCTGGAAAAAAATAGGTTTATTAAAGGATTCCATTTATATTAGTGTTTGTCCCACTCTGTTTCTATTTTATAGTTGCCTATAAATGCAGAGGCCTGAAGTCCATAGTCCAGGTTGTCCAGCATGTCTTTGTTAAATGTTTTGTTCAGTGCTGCATCATAACTCTGCCAGGCAGTTACAGACAAGGGCAGCCCAAATATCTATCAGTAGTGCAAATCCTCTTTAGTCATAGTCCATATCAGAGGGTCAGACACCCAGCAAGAAAGCTCTGGGATCCCTGTACCCCACAAAGCAGGGTGCCGCCCAAAAGCCTACTGGCTGTGTTCTGCAGGCGCTGCTGAGGTCCAGGGCGGGTGCCGGTAGAGCCGCCAAGGTGAAACCCTCAGAGGTTGCCCCTTGCCGGGGCAGAGGTGGTGGTCGGGCCACGTATGCGAGAGGTAAGGGCACCACACCGCCCTGAGGTCCGTAAGGGAGAGGGGGGCTGCAGAAAGGCTCCGTCCTCAACTCCTGCAGCTGCCGCTTGAGCTTCATCCGGCGGTTCTGAAACCAAGTCTTGATCTGGAGGAAAAGCAAGGGGGGGGGGGAGGAAAAAAAGGTGAGGTGACAACGGCACGCAGCTTGTTCTTTATCTTGTTATTTATCAGAACTACGCTGTCGTTATTCACTAAGCCCACGGCACAGCCAGTGCCCCCCGCGCTCACCTGCACCTCGGAGAGGCGCATCCTGCCGGCCAGCTGCCGGCGCTCGGCGGCTCCCAGGTACTGCTGCCGCTGGAAGGAGCTCTCCAGGGTGCTGATCTGCTCGGCGCTGAACGCCGTGCGCAGCCGCCGCCCGCCGCGGCCGCCGGGCTCCTCGGGGCCCGAGCACTCGGGACCCTCCTCAGGCACGGGCTGCCCCGCTCCAGACGGCCGCCCGTCTGCTCCTGAGGACAGGGGGGAAGGAGGAAAGGGTCAGCCACGCCCGGGAACCGCGTAGGGAATCGCCCGACTCCTTTGCCACAGCGAAGTGGTGCCTTCCCGGGGCCCCGGGGGGGTCCAGTCCCGCCCGCCCTCCTCTCCCGGCGCGGGAGCTCCAGGACGCCCCGACGGCCGCGGACACGCGGTTACCTGCAGCGGGAGTGGCCGCCACGCGCTCCCTGCTCCTGCCGCTTCTCCCGGCCCGCGGCCCGGCAGACTGCTCCCGGCTCCGCTCGCTCGAGCCGGGGCTGGAGCCAGAGCCAGGACTGGAGCCAGAGCCGGGCCGGTGGCCCGCGGAGGATGCTCGATGCGGAGAGCCCTCGGTGGGGCTCTTGAGAGTCTGGCTGCTCTGGGACAACCATTCGACGGAGAAAGGGGCCTTGGTCATCCTGCCTTGTTTCAGAGATGCCGGGAAGGAGGGTGTCGGAGAGCGCGCCCCTACTTTATACCTCAACTCCCGGAGGAAAACGTTGTTTGTGTAAATACACATCAAAGGGCCAGATAAGTATCATCTAATTGCGATCAGTCCTCTCCCCCAACAAAAGATATCGTTCACACATTGCCTCAGCTCGCGGAGGCTCGGCTCCGCTGTGTCTGCCCCTGAGGAGTTCACTCCACCATCAGTGATTTACAGCTCTTGTTACATCCTATCCCCATGCAAATGGCATTTATGGAGCTGAGCGGCCTCAAACGGCGCTGGGGAATGTACCCCCGGGGGAGCGCAAGGGGACCAGCGTCCCCGGCCACTGGCCGGAGAGTGGACGCTGCTGCTGCTTCCGATCTACCTTCCCCTGGGATTCGCTTTTTCGTTCCTTTTCAAGCACCAGATTCTCGGTTTAAAGGGCTCTTCTCAAGCCTGCTCCTCTCCAGGCCGAACACTGGGTTACCGAGACAGCCTGAGGCAGGCAATTGGAGAAACTCACTGCATTCTCCGGGACTGCAGCATCAGGTTATAAGAACAGGCACAGGCTGAGGGAGTTAGAGGAGAAGGTTGTGAAACAGAAAAAGATAAATGTCAAGGTCATTGGGTTCTATGAATAGACAAGCTTCCGGTGGATTATATAGAAGTATGGTTTCTGGACTAAAGATCAGAAAATGACAATTATTGCCTTAGAATTAACATTCTGCTGAGGTTACAGAATTCCTATCTTTCCTCCAAGATCTCTTTCAGCTATGCAGGTCACACAGGTATCTCTGCTCTCTTACTCTCCCTGTGTTTTCTCATATTACCTACACGTGTCTTTCAGAAGTGTCCCCGTTCATCTCTGTTTTTTGTGTGCGAGAGAAACACTTGGCTGCTGCGGTAATGCCTCTATAGTATATTGGCAAAAGGTTCCTGGTGCTTTTGGGGCAGTTTTTTACTGCAGGGTAACCACGAATTCTCTCTCCTTTTCACCCTCCCCTCCCATACAAGAACTGGTGTGGAACTTCCATACCATTGATAATTCCTATCATGTCGCTGCTTGATATCACTCTGCCTCCAGAAACCATAACTGATTTGTCTGTCCTTGTTCTTGCCTCTACCACCTGCACACAAACCCAGCGCTCTGTTGTCCCTTTACCCTGGGACTGGCCCTGTTATTCTGCCACTCCTGCTGCATTTCTCATCGGTAACAGTTACTGTAACCATGCTTCTAGATATTTCTTAGACTGACAGACAGAGGTTTGGAGACTGAAACCATCATACCTGATATATGTCTAAATCTTCCAATTTATTCAGTTTTAATCTTATAAGAGATATATTTTTCCTTATATTAATCCAGTAAAAAGTTTTATTCAAACCTCTTTGTCTATCTTTTCCTAAAACAAACATTTCAACCTCTTGTCCACTCCAGATGTAGTAGCTACATCCATTCATCGTGAAATCCTACAGGTTTTTGTTTACCAGAAAATTGTTTCATTGAATCATATTCAAGTTTGACTTCTGAACACGTTTTAAGCTCTGTCTTTCCTTGGCTGTTCATCCTCATGGCATACTCTGAGTCCTGCTCTGCTCTACCAGTGATGACACTGTTCAAGAGTTTGTCTCTAACCAAATAAAAATATAAACACGATTGTCACCTTTATTTAAAGGTGTCTAATAACCAATTTAGAACCACAACCATGCATGACCAGAGCCCTCCCAGAACCCTTTGTTTCTGGCCTGTGTAGGTAGGGATCAACATTGCACCATGCACTGCAGCAGCAGCCTGAGCCCACTAAACAAGCTTCCTGCAGGAAACTGAGGCAACTGGTATAAACATGTCTAAATAAACATTCAAGCCTTAATATCTCCCATACATGTTATCTGCTTAAAGAAGTCCACAAACATCTCTACCATGGACAAAGCCCTGCAGGATATATATATGTATATATATATTTGTGGTTTTTTTCACCATATGAAGGTGTTTGATATCTAATTACTTGAAATCTCATCCATATATCCTTCCCAAGCAATTTTTTATTAACAATGAAAAGTTTAGAATGTTTACTTGACCAAATTGTTCAAGATTGCTTTTAAATTTCCTCTATTTTATAATACCTCCCCCCACACCCATCTTCCCCCTCCCCACCTCAAATATTCCAAGCACGGGTTATTTCTTAACTATTATTTTCATTAGGTAAATGTGAAGACTACCCCCACCACAAACCTGAGCAAATGTTTTAAAATACCAGAACTTCTGAGCATTAGACAATTCTGTTGGCAACATATTTCATAGAGCAGACCAAGCAGGCGTGCGATGGAGAGGAGACATACAGGAATCTGCTCTGTTTACTCAATTACTAAATGACAAGTCCCTTGAGTCAGCTGTACTTAACACGTGGCCTGGCAGCAACCTCTCCAGTCAGTATTGGGAATACCAGTGCCACTGCCTGCTTGCAGAATCCTGGCAAGTCTTCCCAGCAGTCAGGCAAAATGCCATTATCAAGGACTAAACTCTCATGAATGTCAGAAAAAGGAAGTGTAACTTTTCTGCAAGCTTCCTGCTCAATATAAATCTTTCTGATTACTTTAACAGCATTCTGCATCACAGATGGGGCAAAATCCTGTCCTAATGAGATCAATACCTCCCATGTGCCTAGAATTATTTCCATTCTTAGTACCTACAGAATATTATACATAACTATAAATAATATACTTACATGCTACTTACATTCTTATGTATGTTATATATCTCTAAACAAATATTTTTTTTAAGTATGAAAGAGTCTATCTCCATTATGTCAACAAAGAAGGACACTTGGAAAGCTGTTGTATAGGACAAAAAGAATACATGACCTATGATGGAGCTATAAAAAAGAGAAAATCTTGAGTTTTAGCATCCACTGATACATCTGCCTTTACAGATTTTAAAACATTTTTATCATCTGAGTTGCAAATTATGTCTTTATACACTGCTGGTTTATTAATTGCATTGTATTGAAGCAAATGGCACTGCAGAAAGATGGTGTCATATGTTGAGCTCCCAGAGCCACAAACTGATCACATTGTGACAAGGTTCAACCAAATCTCATTTCCATTACACATAAAATGTACAAATATCCTGGATAGATGGCAGATGACTTCTGAATGAAATGACTGCTACAACATTTAACAGATGTTAGTTTAATTTTATCTGAAATTCTTAAGCTGTTTCTATTTCTTCTTTCTGTTTCTATTATTCATTAGATGCTTGTTTGAAAACCTTCTGCTAAACTGTGATTCAGAAATACCATGTTTAAAATCAAGTGACATTACCAATGAGATGAAAACCTGCTCACACTAATGAAATTTGTCAGAGTAGAGATCAGGAACAGATAGTGGCTTTTACTCTGCAACTATAGGGAGGCAGAGACAAAGAGCTCAGACATACCAACATGATTGCCACTAGCAGGAGTCTGAAGATCCATTTACCGTAGTAGATAATGGCAATACTTTATGCAGATGTTTGCAGAATACACAGATGCTCTCTTTGTGGAGTCAGCACCTTTCCGTTCAGCTTTGAAGAAATGTGTACACACGACGCTTGTTTTGTGCTGAGGAGGTTCTGCAGAACTACCTACTACTGCTTGGATGCCGACTAGGTAGTTGATAATAGAAATATTTTGGGATAACAGCTTGGCCTTTGAGAATTAATTGCTGCTCCACATCTTCCAGCCCAAAGCTCGGCTCTGCCCTAGTAAGCCAGTTCAGAGCCCTGCAGAGGGGCAGGATTGTGCTGAGATATTCCTTCTCTACTGAAGCTATGAGGAAACTGAAGAGAGAGTAGTCAAGGGTTGCCAAGTACCTTAAGTTCCCCACAGATACTGGAGGAAACTGCTACCACTTGGCTTTGCTGCAGTGGGGGTACACAAGATCAAAGGAAGGGACTGTCATTTTGTACCAGCAGATGACCCTTTACCGTAACAGTGGAGGGTCCTGGGAGACCAGAGTAGAGTGAATCTGTGGTCCTCTGGAGCAGCTAGATAGTGAAGCAACTCAAAGATTAAAAAAAGGCAGTTTATGTCACACAGGAAGATGTGTGTTCACCTGTGGACATGCAGATTTCCTGGGAAGGCCTGCCGGGGAAGCAAGGGCTGCTGGCATCTACTGTACAATAGTCTTTGCCTTGATGTGTTTATCCAACCATTCCATTGCTGAGTAATCACTATTTAGGACTTAAAAGCATTAAAAACAATGGTTAGAGGCCATTTGTATTATCAACTATTATAATCTTTCTTGTTTGACAAGAATAGCAACTATTTTTCCATGAGGAATTTAAAGACCATATGCACAGAAATACCACGAGGGCCTGAAATAAACATAGTGACAATGCATAGATGAAAATTAAATGTTTCATCATGTTCAGAATTGATCTATATCAACACAGCACTCAAAATGCCAAGAGTTCCCATGGCTCCTTAACACAAGGCTGCCACCAGCAGCTAAGCAGAATCAGTGAAATGTTTTAAAAAGATATACATTCTGTAGAGATGCTGCAAATATTAATAAAACACTTAAGCATATGATGCTTTTAATGGTTCCTTACCCATATTTAAACTTATCAAAAAATTAAAATTCAATATGAATCAGGACTACATTTAAAACATGTACGGCTGTTGGTAGAGAAGCAAGCTTCAGCACCAGATTTATTTATTTATTTATTATTCATTTATTATTAGACAAACTGTTATAGTTTCAGGAATGTAAATCCTTCTTCAGCACTCATTGCTATCATATTGCCATTGAGAGAGATCTCTGTGGACACTGCTCAAACAAAACTACTCAGAAGTCTGTAGTTGGTTTAATTCTGTCTAGAGTAGTAATTAGACTTTAAAAACTATTATTTGAAAGGAAGCAGCATGAAAACGGGCTTTAGAAATGGTTTTATTTTCCAAAGTAGATAGGTATTAATTGTTAGATGCATAAATATGCTTTAGGATCTGGGTTGTTTTAAAAAATATGAATTATCTAGAGATTTGAGATGCATTTACAAGGAATAATGTGCATATGCAAATTCACATAAATCCCACTGGTTTGAGTAACTGTTCAGAACATTCAAACTAACAATCTGATTAAGATCACAAAATGTCACACTTAGACACCTTGAAATCTTTTCAAAACCTAACAGGCTAATTTCACATTTTACATCAAGGCCTTTTTCTTTGTCAGTCTGCTGAAGGATATTTTTTTTCATGATGGTTACTTCTAAAGTTACATTTAACAACATAGAAAAGTAAGAGTGCATTAAATCAGAAATTTTCCATTACATTCATGTTTCCCACAAATACTTTCTAAAGAAATTTAGCAATACTGACCAAAGCATTTATCATTCTTGAAAGTAATTTTTCACTTCCAGCTATTAAAGAATGAATCATTTTCCCCCTTGATTTTAGAATTAGCATTTGAGCATGATGAGTCAGTCAGCAGGAGAATGAGCTATCACAGCAGGCAGCCTTGGGTCATCTATCACCCTTTGTGCCCATCCCGGTTTATGCCATACAATGCAGCTTTGAAATGCATTGGTCCCAGCAGTGAAAATGTTTTACTGACTCTTCCTTCCCTTAACTTACACCTAATATAAATCAGTTCTTTGTACTGCTCCAAAACCAGTCTGTTCAAATTAAACGGAAATAAATGTTACCTTTTTTTTTTTCCTGACTTCAAGGCTCTTCTCCATTTCTCATTTCTAGCTATTTCCCCCCTTCTGTATTCCTCACTATATACCATTTCTTCCTATTTTCTTTATTCCAGTCACTTTCATCAAGCATCCTGCAAATGTTGCTATTGGCTGAAGAAGAGAATAACTTTGGCAGGATATAGAACTGTAGCAACAGAGCATAAACGACAGTAAGTCTGCCTTCACTGTATACCAAACAGGGAGCACAGACATGTCCTGACATCCCCTCTCAGTTTACTCATAAGGGAAAACCTGGGCTTAGCAGGTGAGGACAGGAATGTAATTAGATAAGATGCTTAACACTGCCCCTGTAACCTGCGATTTGACGTCTAAGTTTCCTCCGAGCAATGCAGCGTACATCTTTTGCCAGGTTTACAGGAATGAGTGCATTACACAGAGGGTAATTGAGATATAAAATTATGAAGCTGTGTTTGCGTGTTCTCTAAAAGATTAAAGGGAGCAGTTGAATGCCGAACGCAAATATACGTTCGTTTTAAAACACATTTAAAAAAAAAAAAAAACAAAACCAAAAAACAAACCCTGCCATTTTGTGTTTGGATGTTTCTAATGGGCAGATTTAAGGCAGACGTCCGGAAGACTGTTTTTCACGTTACCTTTGCTCACAGTGCGCTACACGTACATCTGAAAGTCTGCAAAGGGTCTCTTGTGCCACCTCCTGGTTATATTGAGACTTCACATCCAGGAAATTACTACATAAAGGAAGGGAAAAGTTGTAGAAATTTAGCTGAGGCAGTGACAGAATCCTAGAACCATTTAGGTTGGAAAATACCTTTAAGATCATCGAGTTCAGCCATTAACCCAGGACTGCCAAGTCCACCACTAAACCACGTCCCTAAGTGCCACATATACACATGAACACTCCAGGGATGGTAACTCTGTTCTCAGCAGCTGACTCCCCCAACACATGGATGTGCACAGCAGGCTTGAGCTCTAACCCCTCTGCTGCTTTTAGCATAAATCATTTATGCAAATAAAACCTTGAAGATTAAAGTGACTGGAATACAATTAAATTAATAAGCAAATTAATAGCATTCCCTGATTGCAGCTAAGTATTTGAATGTGTACCAATTTACTTTACTGAGACACACAGGACTGAAGATCTCTACTGAGTCCCTCTCCCTTCACAGGGACAGGAACAAGTGGGCCTGTGCACTTACGACAGTTTTATCTCATCTGTTCTTACAAACTTACAGGAAAAGGGATCCTACAGGTGCGTTACAGAAGGGTAACCTATTCCAGTGCTTCACGTGAAGCTTTCCAATGTAAAACCTGACACAGAATCACCTTTGCTTCAAATCTAATAGTGCTTGACTTAAACTTCACAGAACACGAAAAAACCCCTCACTCTGCAACTACTACAGCTTTTTACAGCAACATTTCATATTCACAGTTCTGCTCAATCTAATCTTGTCTATACAAGTCCAATTCTTTCAGTCTTTCTCATTTTATGTTTCTAAACATATATTTTTTGTGGTCCTCTTTTCTTTCATTTTGCCTGTATGTATCTTAGGTGCAGTGCGTAAATGGTAAAGTATTCCTGCTGATGCTTCATTAGCGCCAAACAGAGCAAAATTTTCTGTCATCTATAGCTCTTGTGTAGTACACCTCAGGTCTCCTACTGCTCCCCCCCATCCTTCCTCTTTTTTTTCCTTTTTGAAAACTGTACACGTGGGTTCATATTCAGCTTGTGAACTATTATGGTTCCCAGAGATTTTTTCTGAAGCTCTGTAGTTATTTTTCATTTAACATTTATTATTCAAAAATGTAAGACAAAGCTTAAATTGAAACCATTATCATGATTGTTGTGAGTTCTAATCTTGTATATTGTGTAAATGCGTTTTCCATCCCACCTTGTGTTTCAACAGTAAAATTCACAGACACAGCTGATCCAGGTCCTACACATAATAATGCAGAGTAAAGCGTGAGAAGACTTTACAGTAACCTCAGACAGGTTGCCTCCCTCATCAGAGTAGTACAGTCCCAAGCAGGTTTTATCTTGTTGTTACTGTAACCTATGATAGCTTGTTTCTGAGTGTGTTGAGAACCAAGTATGTTTTACCTCGTTACAGTAAGCCAGGATAGTTTACTTCCCCCACATCTGCATGGCTGCCAAGCTGTAGAACATCTGTGGATCTCGGAATTCAGACAGCAGCACCTGCATTACACCAGTTAGCTAATGAGCAAAACAGGACACGGCATCTGTACGAAATGTCAGTCAGTGCGGGTTTCATTACTCACTTCTGCAGGGCTTTCCCTCGAGCTTCACTCCTTAGCAGGACTGCAATGCATTGGGCCCCCACTTGATTAGTGCTGGGGCCCCAGGATTCCCACTGTGGGAATGCTACACTTTTGATAAAGCCAAAGCTTTTACTTATTAGTATTGTGCCTTGTCCCTGAGGGATCTGCACCTGCTTTTCACTTGTAACATATGGGTAGTCCTACCCCTCCTCAATTTACTTTCACAATTTAACAAACACTGGTAATTACCCCTTGAAATGATGTGTTAACTAGTTCGTGTATTCACCTTAGAATGCCATCACCTGAATCTTAGCAACCTAATATATAATCAGCTCAGAAGGATCTGTTGTCAAGGCATTTATTGTTTTCAACATACAATATACTATATTTATCTATTGGGACAGTTACCCTGACAAAGGGGACCATTAGGTTATTTAAAAATTACTTCGTGGGCAAATGCATGTCAGCCTTTTAAATTAGTCTCTATGCTTGCAGATTTTTAGACAGCTTTTTCAGTAACTCTTCTAGTATCAAAGTTTGGCTGATTCTCTGTCATTCTCTTTATCTTGCCTTTCCACTCATTCTTGTGCTCTTGCCCAATTGTAAAAAACAGTATTATTTTCTGGTTCCCTGGAACACACTCATTCTTCCTCAATCAAAACCACAATAATTCCAAGATTATTTCAATTTTCCTCCTTACTATTATATAATAGATTTAACCAGAAGTTAATGTTCTAATACATCTAATTAGCTTGATAATCTCCCATTCTGACCTGCAGTCCTGGTTAACTTTGATCTTGATAGGCATTGTTCAGAGGGTAGGGCAGTGAAACAGCAGGCACTTCAGCCGTTTGCACTATTTGATACTTATTCACCTCTCCCGGTAAGCAGAGAGTTCTTATTGAATAATAGAAAATATTTAAGAATTCATTTTAATTGTTTTGCTTTTCCCTTGCTGACAAAAGCATTGTCTGTCCAGTTTTCTTCCTAACCTGCTGTGCTCTTCTTTTATATCTGTTCTTGACAATGCAGCCTTCTTGTTCCTACTTTTTTTCAGTATATTTTTTTAAGTCATTGATGAGTCCCTAATGCAGCCACAGTTTTCTTCTCTTTGCATGAGGATAGACAGTTGTTATACTTAAATTATGGCCTGTTTTAGAGACATCTTTTTAGAAACTCTCATCTCTCTTTAATTTTTCTTTGCCATTCAATTCCTTCCCCAGGACCTCACGTACCAATTCCTTGAGTTTGTTGAAGTTTGCTCTTTTGAAGCCCAGTGTTATTATTCTGCTTCTTTCATCCCTTTCTTTCCCTTTGAATCATGAACTCTGTTGTCTCATGGTAACTTTCATCTTGATTGCTTTCCACATTCAGATTTTCAACTAGTTTAACTATTAAACACTGTAAAATCTTAAATAGTAAGACTATTCCCCATGGTTCCAGCACTAGCTTATGTACACAGTTATATCTAAACTGTGCTCACACCAGGTTCAGAGCAAATCACATCCTGGCTGTCATCAGAGGGGTAAGCAGGTGGTAGGGGTAGGGATGTGAGCACAGTGTATTCAGTATGTCCATTGGTCTGGAGAAACAAAGAATCAGGGACTATTTGTGACACTTAAAATACATCATCCTTGCAATTTTAAATGCAGCCTAAGATATTCAGTATTTCATCAGCTCTCTCAACTTATGTGTTTGGCAATCTATTGAGTTCCCCACATCCTTCTCTAGGTTTCAGTCTTTTGGTCAATTATCTTTTATTTAAATAAACTAATTCAGGGGATTTTGTATCCCAATGATGGTCTTTAACAGAATCATTCAACCTTTGACCTGCAGTTTACCTTTGTGGAGAAAAGTTACTTTGCTAATGTCTGTGGATCTATATACTCATCTCAGGAGTCATCTGTCCTTTTTCAGTCTTTTATTTTCAAGTCCTTTGCCCTTTCCCTTCCTTGCATCAGGAAACAGAGAATTAGGAGATACCTCAAGGGGATATCAAGACACTGCTTCCCCAGTATAAGTGACTTTATTCTTTACCCTCCCTTTTCCACAAAAAACCAGAGTAATCCTAGTCTATGTTTGTGCAGTTGATTATCCCAGAATTTTGCATATATCTGTGTAACATGCCTTATTTTACTGTGTGTCATTATTCCAAGTTGTCAAGATAATTTGAAATTTTAATCGCATTCTTAAGCTTGCCTGCAGAGGTCCACACAAACCAGAGCATGTTACTGAAGGCATGAAGTAATTCCAAATGCAGGCAGACCTCTTCAGGCCTTTACTGGACACAACCTTGCATTTTTGTAACAAGCCACTGTCAGCCATTCTGTTGTTATCCAAAAAAAGGTGGATCTGTCATTTAAGCACCTTCTTTTTTTTTTTCCTAGACCTCTTCTACTACCTTGTTTGCAAAAAAAAAAAGTATTGAGTATCTGCTACTTAGGTGAATAATTTACTCCTGTTATTGTTTATGAGTTTTATCAGATATGACAACAAATAAACATCTATTTGCAGAGATTTCAATTATGACTGTGATGCTTAGGCTCACCCATGCCCAGTCAAGCTTTCCAAATTATGTCTCTCTGGTAACAGCAACTCAAATTGTCCAGTACTCTGAACTGAATTCTACCAGTTTAAAACACAGTATCTACTTTAGTGTCTAAATCCACTGTGTATGAAATCTACATAATGTCAACATCAGAACGAGACCATCCTTAGCATAAGAATTAAATTAAATAATCTTACAGCTAAGACACAGGACAGGTTTACAAGACAATAATTAAACTCCCGCCTTTTAGGCAAGTTACAAAAGCATCATTTACATCAGACTAAAAAAGAATAAATAGAATGATGCAAAGACCAGATCCTAGACTAGATTACTGCAATGGCCTGATGTAATGTGGCAACTGCCAATTCCACTTGCATGTGAGACACTGAACTATCACTATTATTTTAAGCTGCACACTAAAATAATTGCAGGCTGAAGCTGTCCTGCAATACTTTCAGATCGTTTACAAAGACCCTTCACATAATAGCTAAAAGCCTTCTTCAAACATAGAAGGAACTAAAGAGCTTCTCTCTCTGCAAAGGGAGAGGAGACAATTCTGCAAATTAAAGTTTCTAATCTTACAGGGGCTGTTGTCACTCATTGATAGATTAAAACCAGTCACATTAACACGTTCTTCAAACTTTTTGCTGCAGGAATTTTTAAGTAGAAACTTGAAAGTTGAAATTGTTCATTCTCACATGTACTTTAGAGGGTTATCAGAGTATGAAATCACATAAACTCCCCCAATGGAATATTCCACCACAAATTAGTAATTTATTGGTACTTAAAATTATTACAAGATCTCTTGGGGGAAAAAAACCCCAAACCACTTTTATAATGCAAATTGTAGTGGGAGGCAGTGTTAAAATGACTGTCTGAAAATTTCTTGCATTTATAGTAAACTTAATGAAGGCAAAAACATTTATAGGTGAAGAATATCTGTTAATAAGGCAAATCCCAAAGATGACCACTCAATTAAGCTTGATTTACAGGACTTTAGTTTTCAAATATTGTTCAAGTCTGAATTTCCAATGCTTTGAGGGTCCTTCAAAGCTCAACATCATTTAAAAATAATTATTTATAAAGCATGTTCTGAGAAAAAAAGACTTTCAGGAAAAAAAAAAAGGAAAAGCTAGCTCTAAACAGAACACAATGTGGAATTTAAACAAGGTTATGCTTTGGATTATATTTATGAGGGAGAAAACCAGTCTATCTGCACTCTTTCCCTCATCAGAATATCAAGGATTGAAACAGTCAACCATATGAAAAATTGTTGGCTTCTCCTGCTTTCAAACTGTAGCTTATTTATTTATTTTTTTAATATACAAACAGATTTCCTCAAGTATTAAATCTTTGCAAATCACATACAGTACTCACAGAAGTGATGAGTCTCAGCAATGCTTATGAAACCAATCCAATACATAAAGCAAAGTCTAGAAGTGGTTGGAAGTTTTCCACAGAAAGAAATTTGTCAGAATCATGAATCCAAGTTGATTTCCCAGCTTCTTTGTTTGGGATTCAACAGAATAATTAATAGGATCCAAATTAATTAATCCCTGTTTCCTGGCAGGCTTCTGGAGGTGTTAGAGCTGGAAACCTGATTTCAAATGGAGCTAGTATAACTAGGACACACTTTCCAGCTCTCTGGCAGGAGGCCTTAAAACCCAAGGGATCCTGGGGACAGACACCTGCAAAGGGACACACAAAAAGCACCAATACACAGAACAACTGGGAAGATTCCCAAGGAGCAGACTTCATTTCAGAACTCCACGAGTCACTGTTTGAAAAATAAGCACAAAAACAAGATCAGGGAAATGCAGAAAAAATGAAGAAGAGCTAAGATAGCTGGTGGCAATTCTGGCTTAAAGAAAAAATTCCATTTTTTCCCCCCAAAATTCCAGTTTGGTATTGGAATGGAAGCATGGGGCCAGACTGCATACAATTTATGCAATACAGTTACTTGATGCCAATAATATTTTGCCAATTAGGTAGAACTGAACTTATTCTTTGACGTGTTTTGTCGTGGTTTTTCTTTTAAAAGGACATTACCTACAAAGAGAGAAAACTTTAGTCCAACTCTTACTATTTGTTAGTCATAAATAAGCAGTACAGTTATATGCTAGACGTAACTTTATTCTGAAATCTGTGTCATACAAGATGTGCATACACCAGTGTTCATGAACAAAAATAAACGAGTTTCCTTGTAAAGGAGTGATTTTTTTTTTCCAATAGCTATTTATATTTGTTGCTGTTGTTGTTGTGGGGTGGTGCCTAAATACAAAATCTAAAATGTCTGATGGATGAGAATACCCCAAAGTAGTACCATAACTCAATACTATGCATAAATAGCAATATAAGGTCTGATACACCAAAGCGTTATACAGAAGATATGAGATGATTTTCAAATTCTTGTATAGCACCAGTTATTGTCATGGAATAAACATAATATTTTGTAGATATAGTAGTTGCTTTATATCCTGATAAAAACTGTAAGAAATATATGAATTAATTCTCATGAGTGCAAAATGTGAATGGTAAGAAAATCCACAAAAGCAACTTCAACAGTCTGACCAGTAACTATATAAAATGCATTTATTAAGATCATGTGATGCAAGTTTTGTGGAGTTCTTTACATTAGTAAAGCTTATGCTACTTAAAATTTCACTGTCTTTCAAAGGCAAGGCGTGGCTTTAAGTGAATGGTAATGTTTAATTGAGAGAAAACCAAACTACTAATAAAAACAATTATTTAAAATAAATGCACATAGATAAAATATATGAAATATGTCTGGAAATAAGGTTGTAATTGACATTCTTAAATAATTGTATTATATAAAGATAGGAGATAAAGACTAAATGATTTCACATTTGGCAATTTTTAGAGAAATAGCAACACAATTTACTTCCTTAAGGATAAGTCAGAACACTGTTATTAATGACATGCTAAACCTACATATGATAAATAACAAAATAAATCGTATTAAAAGTAGAACAAACGCAAGAAAACCCTGTTGAGGACTGAGATCTCCAGTATTTAAACAAATAAGAGACAAAAGTCAGTATCATTGTATTAGTATGGCAAAGTAACTGAGGTATCTAATGGAAAGCATTGACATACCTTGTTTTTACTCAGAAAGATGAGAGAGGCCTGTGATGTATATATTGCTGTTATTGACAAGAGAAAAGGAGATGCTTTCCTCTTAAACATTGAGAAAGCTACAATTTAACATGTGCACATGCACTTCTGTCAAATACAACAGTAAAATTTGCAAAATACTACACATGTGCACATTCCCATTTCTAACATTGTTATGCTTCTCCATCACTAACACATGACAAGACACTTAGTTCATATCTGCCCATCTCTGAAAATATTTTCTTTTTAAGTTTTTAAACACAGTTCTATGCAAATCACTCTCAGGACAGTTTATTTTGGAGGGTTTTTTGTTGTTTTTTGCCCTTCCCTACCTCTCTTTCAACACTACCATTGTTCCCTCTGGTAGAAATACTTGTATTTGCAACCACTTTATAGCCTTAACATTTTGGCTCTGCATAAACCTGGGTAGCTCAACAAATTTTTTAGCAATAGCAACCCATTCCATTGCCATTTAAAAGGTCTTACAAGCTCTATGACTAGGTTAGCACCAAAGTTTTACAAGTTGCAGATCCAAATTTCACACAGTTATCTTCTATTAAATGCTGCTGGAGTGCTGCAACTACAAAAGCAACCTCAGAAGCAAAAGCCGTAGTCAAATGTGCACACATACAGACATACACAAATTGGCAAAGTGACTCTTATGCCAAATACAGATTAAAAAAACAATTTCACATTTACTGTCTTCACAATGCCATGAGTGCAGAAGCAGAGCAACAAACTGGTATTACTTGGATTCAGATCTTACTTTCATTTGGAAATAGGTTAGTCTAATGACATTAAAGCCAAAAAAACAGAAAAAAAAGTTGAAGGATAGCATTCTTCTCCTTCCTTAGTATGCTTCAAGAAATAGACAGTCAATTATTTAAGTCAGTAGTTTTCATAATACTCAACATAAAAGCAAGACACACCAACAGTCAATGAATAACAGAAGATCTGTGTCCATGAATTAAATGCACACTGTGACAGAATATAATTGTACTATGTCTATATAAAAATATATTCAACATTTAATGAACTATACTCTGAACTCTCCTGGTTCAACTTTTTAACAGAAGTGTAATTTTAACTTATTTTCACAGTATTTTTTAGATACTTGTTTTCAGGCTAATTATTTATTTATGCTAAAGAACAGTGACAAAAGTAATACTCCTTTTCACCTATACTCTCTTTACTTTTATGTCTATTTTTATTCTTCTGATCTGTGATTCAAATCTGATTAGTCAGCATTTCATAATTCCATGTTAAGAAATATAATAATTTCAACTTGAGATGGTACTTTAAGTCACTTCTCTTAAGTATTTTCTTGGGAATTGGTCCAGTAAATGAAGTCAACTTAATCCAGTTTTACAGTCAAGACTTGGAATAGAACAGACGAAACATAAATAATTACTGAAATGTTGCTTTCATCCTGCGCAGTGTGTCCTGAATTTTTCGAGAATGTCTTTCTGCTGGTATCTGGTGGAAGTTGGCACAGTTGTCAGCTGCCAAGGCAGAAATGTCTGCATCTTTAAAACGAGTTATTCTTTGTCTGAGGTAAGACTGCAGCTTGAAATCTGGTGTATATGTATAAGGATTCTCTTGAAACGCATGAACTTGGCTCACAACTTTTGCAATATTTCTTACAAGAGAATATGGTAAAAAAGATTAGTTTGTTTTGGTGATGATAAAAACAAAAGCATAAACCAAAAAAGCAAACTTTCAAAAGCTCTGAGCATTTTCTTCTATATTATAGGTACTTTTAGTTAGATGTTCAAATGACTGAACTTGTGAAACGCTGCATTAGCTCTCATTATCCCATTAGACAATACTCTAATCAAAAAAGTTAGGTGATCTACACATAATTAAAATAATTACCTAAGTTTAGTCCACTTGTGAGCTCCATTTGTCATTGTAAATCCTCCAGTTTCAAGCTGTTGGACGTGCATAGCCAAAACATGGGCTGATGGAATTGTTGGAAGAGTTTTGAATCTGTCTCCTTCCATCAAGCATAAGCTGTCACTTTTTAAAAACACCTAGTTTCAAAATGCACACAGATTAATCTCACATTAAGTATCAGTGAAAGCTTTACAGGTTCTCCATGTATTTAACACCTATTTATTTGTCTTGAACATTAACTTTTGGCATTGAAGACAACACCATAAATTAATCTGGTGGTAAACATTTTGAAGTACAGAAATAAAGAAAGTAACTTTAATCAAAAGATCCTTCATACTTCATTTTAATTGCTCTAAATTTCAGCCAAAATTGCATTTTAAAACTTCACTCCATGTTTCAAAATTCTATAGGTCAATAAGAGAATGCCTGTGATAAAATAAACGTTTAAGACTTTTCAGAACAGACTATAGCCACAAAGCTCCTACAGAAATCTTCTAATGCATATCTAGTGTATCTAATGTTTTAGTTTCCTTTGAAATGTCTTTGACTTTTAGTCCCACAGGACAAAGGTTACAGAAATCCTGAGATTAAAATTTAAGTAAACCCTTGAATGAAGAGTAAAAAAGACTTAAAGCAATTTAAAATCTTCTTCATAATACAAAGTAATAATTGTGGTATTCATTCTGCAGAGGCACCCATTTAAGCAGATCTTGCATCTTCTCCAACCCCAAAGAAGTACTTTTACATTAAATACTTTATACTATACCTCAACAGCTTTGAGTTCCTCCATTATCTCAGCTACTTTTGCAGGTAAAATTTTCCAGGCCTTACAATAAAAAAAAATAAAATTTGTTTTTCACATTAATGTCCATATGGGAGCAAGATTATATTAAGCAAAGTAGTTACAGAACAGAGTCCCAGACTTACTGGTAACTGTCGTACAATAAGATTTTCCAAGCCTGCTAGGATTTGCATTGCAGTGGCAAAATTTCTTTGTTCGTAGCAGCATTTTGCTATAAGAAGAAATTTTGACAGCAAGCTCACCTGCCGCTGAAAAAAAAAATTAAAGTATACTATATATACATAAATATATAATAAATATACATAGTAAATCTACATAATAAAATTAAATGAGAAGGAAGAAGAGATGCATTTTCTTTTTCAATTTATCAAAATTGTTGACTGTAGTAACAATTCCCTGCAACACAAAGTTTTTCCTTTTCTGTAACCCAGGTGTCCTTGATAAAGTTTGACATGTATTCTCCTAAGAAAACCCATTTCTTACATTCTGTTAGGTTTTGACACCTGCTACTAGAAAACATCCAAGACCTTCCTTGTGACAACAAAACAAATTGTTAAGTGCCCACTCACAGGTGTACTTCAGAGTATTGCTTGTAGCTTTGCTGTATAACAACACAAATATAATAAAAAATAAATAACCATTTAAAAGTTAATAATAAACAATGACGAACCTTAGTTGTGTGACATGTTACAATTTCAGCAGCAACCCAGGTGCTGATACTGTCTGCATTTCTTAACAATTGCAGAAGATACTGGTCTTGTATGCACTTCGACAGAAACAGATTACAGACTTTAAGTGAAACTGTCTCAGTAGAAACTGCCCTATGGAGAATATGGGAAAAAAAAAAGCAAAAAGAATTCATGCCGATATTGGATTTTTAAAGAAAATCTTGATTGTGAAGAGACCAACTTCTAACCATTTAAAATAATTTTGCATTGCTTGGAGTCTTTTTATAATATTTTGTAATGTACATAGTAAGCCATGTTACTTTTTCTTCCTTATAATTGCAAGATAATTACATCTGATAAAAAAATAAGCATATGCAGTATACATTTTTATACATAAATACACCTTCACCACTCCTTAGTGAATAAAACAAACCATCCAATCTGACACAAAGTAACAGCCAGGAATCAAAACTCACTAAAAACTGCAGCCACATAAGAAATCAAGCCTGATCCCTAGTGAGTGGCATCACAGGCTTTGTTTCCCATGACTGAACCCCAAAATCTGTATAAACCAGTTGACTGAGCCTTGGCATTGAATAATCTGTAAAAGATGAGTTGCTTTAGAAGTTCATTCCCTATCTTTAGACACAAAAGTCTACTACAGGAAGTGCAATTAACAAGTACTAATTAGAAGCTAGCTGAATCCACTGTGTATGAAAGAAGTAGACCATAATAAAAAATAATGAAGTCCATGTGGCTGGATGAAAACAATAATTACTGATGAGCAAGCAATTTAAATAGGTTGGTAATCACTCTAGTAACTACAGGAAAATTCTTACTTATCTTTGAATACTGATAACTCATTTATGTAACAGTACATAATGAATACTGCACAGAGAAGCTGCAGAGTCTCCATTCACATTCCAACTGCACACAATCCTGGGCAACTTGGTCTAGCTGACCTTGCAGGGTGGTTGAAATAGATGATCTTGAGAGGTGTCTTTCAACCTCAGCTGTTCTATGAGACCATAACTGTCTTTTGAGATTTTATATACATACACACATGCATGATCAAGGATCCTATTTCAGAATCCATTACATTTTTTCTCTGACAAAAAATGAAATCTTTGAAGCAAATACTTTAGAAGTATTTTGGGCTGAGCTGATTTAGATTTCAAAGAAATCACCTTGCAAATGTGACCTTACACATACAAGTATGTGAATAGGTACATACATATCATCATCATCATCATCATGGCTAAAATCTCCTGAAATTAAAAAAAAACATATAAACAGGCTATCTCATCTGTAAAAAAAAAACAAAACCAAACCAAAACTAAGTATTTAAAATGTTTCTCTCTTTCTGGCTGTATTAAAAGCATAACATGGTAAGTTATTGTACACCAACAGAATAGAAGGGCAGTTAAGCAACTTACTTTTGCACAGCAACACATTTGTCTTTAACACCAAGTGCTCTTGAATTTAGAAAGTGTACTGGATGACACTTAAGAAATACTTCCTAAAGAAAAAGTGCAAGATATATCTGCTGTTAGGTCTAACAATCCTTTTAAAATGCTCGGGGATAAAAATGACAGACTGTGTCCCCCTCCCACCCCACCTTCATAAATTTCTGAGAGGGATCACAGCCTAAGAATAGCATTAGTCACTCTAAATTTTACTGTAGAGATTTTATGGGGAAAATGGATTATTTTAATTCAAAGTCTTATAAAATAGTATGAAATAAGCCTGAAACACAGTTGGTAAATGACAGAGAAAGAAAGCTGAGTGCAAAGTAAGAAGACAGGTATTATTTCCAAATAAACCTAGACCTCTGTACCTGCTGCAGTAATGTCAGCTGCCAACAAAGCTGTTGTGCACTGTACTCTGTTAAGAGATATGGTTCCACTGCATCCCCTTTAGCTTCTGTTAAATTGCATAGTTTTGGTGAAACTGGTGAACTGGTGTGCAGTCGCTCTCTCTGATATTGTGCAATTGGTCCCACACCTTTGGATAGTTTCCAGTAGAAGTTCTGTAGAAAAAAAAAAAATGCAAGGATGCAACTTCTCTAAAACAAACACTAGGTCTCCCCTTGATGTAACTTTCAGGAATGTTTTGTTAAGTGAAGCACCTTTGCAGATGCAGAACTCTTCAGCTAATCTTCAAGGTTAGACCAGACACTAAGTGGTTTACTCAACATTGCTATTTTAAGCTAATATAATATGCACAGTTGATGAGTCTGAGCAGGAGGTTGCCAGATCTCAATCAACAATCAGCATTTATAACAAACCACTGTGTATTCAAGCTTGTTGTCATAAAATGTTTTATATTCTAAAGTTCTATATATTTTACTTTTCATTATTTCTTGTATCCATTTTGCTTAGAATCAAACATTCCTTTGCAAGAAATACTTGGTTTTCCATTCTTTTCCCTTCTTCTGTCTTCCAGTATCATTATGTTGTAGTGACAATAAGAAATGTCTATGTTTGTCTTGCTGCTTGCCCTTTTTTGGCTGAATCCACAGTATACCCAATGGAATTCTGCACTTTTATCAGGATTCTAAATTCAATTGGCACATTGTTGATACATTTGACTTCCACGTGTTATTTTGGTCAGTCCGTAAAGAGATCTGTTTTCAGGAAAAGCCTACAGTATATTCTGGCTTCTAGGACTTTAGCACACTGTATAAAATAGTAAATACAGACAGAACTTTAGACAAGTTTTTGCTACAAGCTTTGAAATTCTAGTGGGAAACCTCTCAGCTCCTGATGTTTTCCTGCATTTATAATCTTACAAAGACCTATGCCTAATAAAAAACATTGATGTTTGACAAGGGGGTAAAGGTTTCCTAGTAACTGTCACATGCTAGTGTCAAGAATGAAGAGTTCAACTTTCAAAATCTTGATTATCTGATTTACTATTGCTGAAATAGCTGACAGTAATTAAGTCTTAAGATTATTTTCACAGTTACAAAACTGTTTGGGCCTTAGATATCTTCAAAAGAAAATTTAAAACACACGTACATAATTTTTAGTGAATGTGTGGTCTGGACTCTAAGTTGGACACTTCTGGTTTTGTCACAACAGAATATATGGAAATGTGCTCCATACACTGCAATCTGAAGAAAAGACATACCTTTCTGGAAACGTCTTCTGAGAGCTTTTTACATAGGGAATGTAATGTTTTTCTGCCCTCCTCACCTTCCTCTTCACATTTGTCCATGCTGGAGCACTGATCAGCACTGCCACTTTTCCTGGCAGAAGCATCCTCAAGCAATGACAACAATCTCTCACCATAGCCATTTAATGAAGCAACCTGGAAATGCCAAATAGGTTAACAGAATACTGAACTCCATTCCCCATAAATTATAAACAAGCCACAACACTGAAGACACACTGAACATGACTGTCAAAGATAGCATTATTTTTCTTTTATTTACTTTAATCGTACTTACGACAGTTTCTTGTAATCAAAACCTTACATATACCAAAACTGATTTTATTTTTTTTTTTTTCTGAAAGCAACTACTGAAATTCTGACTTACCTTGGAAGAAATAAATTCTTTTAGGGTACACAGAAGACCAGTATTTGTTGCAAAGTCTACACTATAGCAGTCTTCAATCCAAGCCTGCAGGATGTAGAAACTGCGGTTACATATTTTGGTAAGTGATGTGGAAGGATCCAGGCTTGCACTGGTGAGAAGAAAAAAGCACTCAGTACACCAAAATTGATATCCAATTGCAATTTAAAAATAAGTGTTGAAAAACCCCACAAGTATTATTTGGTATTGACGGTACTATCTTAATTTCCTACATTTCATGTTTCTAGAATCCCTGGCTCTATAGAAACAAAGCTGTGGTTCTACTTACTACCCATTACTAAGTAACTGATAAAAGTAAGACTCGGAATTCAGAAGAAAATAGAAGTAAGCATATTGTCAAATGCAGCTCTTGCTCTAATTTCACTCTCACTTGTCAAGAGAGTCTTAAAAAAACAAACATAAAAATTCATTTTAAATAAGTAGAACTTCTGAGAAACAGCTATTTGTTATTGGTGGAAACTCAACTGTGCTTTGATAATATTTTCCATGGGAATTTACTGTACCTGGATAAAGTGCTGCTGATTCTATCAAGAAGAAACTGCAAAAACTCTTCTTGTGTGCAGAAATAGCGAAATGTGTAGAGAAACTGCTGTACATAACCTTCTAAAAATGCATTTCTGTAAAGCACAAGAAAAACCTCAGACAAGCCAGAACACATTGTCTTTCTGCATTACAGGACAGCAACAGCAAAAAATACTTAAAATATCAATAGGCATTTTAAATTTTCAAGTTCTTCATAAAACTTGGATCTTTCATTCTTAATTTTTGCACATCAAAGACTGTGATTGCCAACACTGAAAGCATAATTTGTTTTATAAAGAGTTTCTCTACTTTCAATTTTGTGAATAACCACTTTGACATTTCTATTATTAACAACAGTTACAATCTAAATATTATAAAAGAACATATTTAATTTTCTTTTTTCTATCATCTCACTTGATGTTGCTTTAATGTTTTTTATTATAATAACATCATAAAAAGTAGATACATTAAGCAAGAAAATATTCCCTGTAGCTCTAATTAGAGGACTAGTTACTTTAACAACAGAATATATTTATTAACATTAAAAATGAGAGTATTTTTTTTTTAAATATACACACTCTCAAGGTCTTAACACAGGTTAATTGTCCTGTTTCTCTGCTGGCTTACAGCTCATCATGAAAGATGGGTTTGATGAATGTGAAAACTCTGATTCCAAAGTATTTTCTTCACTTTGTGCAAAATATATGGAAATGTACCAGGAAAAACTGCACTCAGGGTAAGTAACTGGATCGCAGAGTCAGGATGAGCTGGGATAAGTAGCTGGGAGGAATTTGGTCCCTCTACAGCAGCGCAAGTTTGATGGAGCCTCTGGCAATTTCCATCCTTCATACCATTACAGCTCAGGTACCTTAATACAACACTGCCCTCAGCCTGGTTGAAAAACAGCTTTGTCCCCATTTAAGCCCTGAGATAAGCCTGCGTCTTGATCAATGCCAAGGATTGATTATTGGCACAATCACCCGTGGAACAGAACCTAAACATTTTCACATTCAGACCCTATTAATAATAATTACCAAATTATATGATCTGAAGAATTGTACTGCTGGCAGTAGCATAAAGCCTTGATTCCGTGGCAACTATCAGAGCAAAATCTCAAATAAGTAAAGGATAAAGTCTGAAGTTATTAGTTTTTTATTTATTATCAATACTTAGGGTTTTAATTCAACCCAGCCAATCTTTTGCCATTTTCTTGCTCATTCTTGTAAATAAGTGTTCAAAGAAATAACAGAAACTTGATACGAGAAGAGAATTTATTCAATGTTGAGTAAGTAGGATTTATCACAGAGACAAGTTTTTCCTGATTTAACAACTGTGTTTCGACCCACCCCCAATTCAGGTGCAAAATATACTATACCTAGAATATAAATAAGCCATTAAACCAAGTGGTGTACCAGCCTGCAGAACTCTCACTCCATTTTGATTATTACACTGGTGTTTCTCTGTGTTATAGTAAAGAAGCAATGATGATTCATCCACAGGTGCCGTGTCCATGGTGTCAGTTTTCCCGTTGTGAATTACCGTAGGCAGCACACAGGATTCCACACCCCACTGCTCTGCATACATCATCTGCTCAAAGAAACAATGCCATGATAAAATAAAATGTAAGAAAATAAAGAGAAAAATCCACACAGAATGCAATCAAAGTCAAATTGCATTTCACACAATTTATTTTTTCCTTTTTAAACAATACTAGTAGCACTTACCTTTATTTTAATAATTCTTTTAGATCCTACTTAATTTGGCACGGTTATACAAAACATTTCACATTTCATATAGTGATTTGAGCTGCCAACTATACCGATGCAGTAATGAAATGACAAATGAAGCACAAGCGAAATAAAAGTCTGACTTGCCTGAACATATTTCTTTACCAGTTCAAGAAACTGCACTTTTGATTTCATTTCCTGTAGCTGTCCTCTCAATTTGGGCAACATAGATTTAGTTTCAGGACCTTTAGATTTAAAACACACAGTATAAGAACATCAATGATTCTGAGTTACAGAACAAGTCCTTAAAAGTACTACATACCCATTTTATTACTGGCAAGTTGCTATAATCTTACCTTTGCTTCTTCTTTCTTTCTGCAATAGTTTCTGGTAAAACTTTATAGTCTTTCTGTAATTTTTTGTTTCCATCATTAGCAATTGTTCTAGTTCCTATTTAAAAAGACCAGGATGGTAAATGCAAGGCAGTTTTAGTAAGAAACAGAAGTTTTAGAAGAGAATTATTTTGTATGAAAAAAAACCACATCCAAACAGACAAGAATATGGTATTAACCATGAAAAATTACCTTTCACACCTGTGCTTACAGCCAAGTTCTAGCAGGCACTACCTGTCCCCAGAAAAGTATTAGTTATGTCACAGTTTTACAACTGGAGCTGGTTTGTGTATGATGAGACTGCATGGAAGTTTGTCTGAATCCATTTACATAAATATGCCTTTAGTTATAATTGCACTTATCTGGTTGTTTTCAAAAGCATTTTTAAAACTTACAATCAGAAGTCATCCAGAATTAAAAGTTATGGGTTGTGAATTTAGTGTGGGCCCCAGAAACGCTGCTAAATAGTTGACCTATATTTGCAGCAAGAACTGAATATCTGACTGAAATCCATGGTTTCCAAACAAGTATAATTACAAGTATATTATACAACTAGGTCAGAAGGCAGACAGGAGAGCTGCTGTAGAACTAAAGGACATATCAATTTCAAAATTCAGCTCTCATATTCTACATTTATGCATTTCCCATAATTGAAAAAATTAAATTTCTATAGAGTTATATAACTTAAACAATGGTTAGAAATGAAAGTATATTGGGCTTCTCACAATATATCTGATTTAATGTAAACATTTATAATTGTTTGCATATCAAAGGTTTCATTATTTTACAAACTGATGAAAATGGGCCACCCATTTTGGGTTCAGTTTCTGATTCATTATGAAACAATAAACATAATGTATGTTGTGCTTTATAAAAGTAGTGGCTTTTGCACTTGGGTCCTAAGCTGACTACCCGTGACCCAGTTACATGAAACAGCATTTTAAATAGAGAAGGTTCACAGAATGCAGCAGACAACTCCAACTCCCACAAGCACAGTGATCAGAAAACACACAGCTCAGGGCTAACATATCAAACAACAGACTGGTAAATAGGTTAGCTTTAATGGGATGGACTTGCTAGAAATTAATTTGAGTTTAAGAAAAACCTGTCACTGTTTTTCAGAAAAGCTCAAAAGGTTTAACAACGTAGTTCATTAGCATCAAGAGTCACAAAAGCCCAGTGGATTTTTAAAAGATCTACTGCTGCACAGGAGTCACACAGAGAATAGGGAAAGCACAGAAAAGCTATTATCCACATTCTAATTGGAAGCTTTATTATTATTATAATTGGAAGCTACTTGCTTTTACTTCAAGATCTGGTTTTGCTTTGTCAATTAAAGCAAAACCAAATTGATTAAGAGACTATGAAAAACAAAGGGAATCAGAAAGAGTGGCCATGTGGAAACTGATGGACAAAAGTGGTTTGTACCCTAAAAAACTTGAGGTAAGTAGCAATGAAGTCAGAAGCAAATTTCCTTTCTATTCCACAACATCTTCCAATTCAGGTTGGTCTAGAATATAAAAGCTTTTGATGAAGCTATACACCCAATTGTTCTGTTCCCTCTGAAGTGCACTTAATTTGTCAGGACACATCTCTATAGAACGTCCCTTACTCTAGGAAACAAAGTAATGATAGAATGACTTTGCTAACTTGGAAAAATTGCAAATTCCAATCGGTAAAAATTCTTCTAATGCAGGAGTATTATCTCAACTTTATAGCCAACTTTTTAAAAATCTGCCAGAGACTTGGAGAAAAAAAGTAGCTGATCTAATCCTAGACAGACAATGAAAACTAGACTTCTGTTAATCAAGGAACTGGTTTCCAAAATAAAACTCGTTAACAGAGGATTTAAACAAGGAAAGGCAGAGTGAAGACAAACTGTTGCTCTGAATTTCAAATATTAACAAAAACTTTTACAAATTTGCCAAAATTTAGATGCCAAATGTAGATGCCAAAATGTAAAAATTAAGTAAATGTGATCAATATGATCTTTAAGGAAATGAAAGACCTTGCTAATCTAAAATGACTCACCACCCTACCCATGCTCCCCCAGCTACTTTAAAGGCTGCACTAATTCTCATGATTATGATGTTTAGCCATCTCCAAGTGAAGATGGGAGCAAATAACCATCATTCTGTTGGCAAAGGGTGAGAAGCTGTGACAAAGGAAAAGGGCTCAGAGCCCATGACAGCGAGGACCTACTGTGGGCCTGAGATGTGCTCCAGTCATAGTCATTCTTAGGTCTTTTCTATAACATCACCACCATGGGGTTGGTGCATATAGCAGATGGTTCTTTCCCAGTCAACTTTAAGAACAGAAGATGGGTGGTAGGTTGGTGATTACACTTTTGTGTCAGTGCTCTTTATTTTGGAATACTACATCTACTGTGGTTTATTGCTAAGATGTGACAAATCTTGAGGATTTTAAACCAGTTAAGAGTCAGTATTTAAAAGAAGAAAGGGTGTTTTGACTCACTATAACACAACAAATATTATCATACTTTTAACCAGCAAGTAAAGAGGTATCTTAATGATTTAAAATCAATATACTCACCACTTTTTTAGCATCTATATTTTGTGACTCACTTGATTTCTGCTTTCCAAGGTTTTTCAAGTAACTATGAACTTCTGCATCAAAACATTCAGCTCCATAAAAGGCACTGCTCCAACCAGGACTACAGCCATTAAAGTCAGGTAGACTGGGAGATGCCAGGTAGCTGTTTCCAGCTATCTTTATCGTGGCCTCTTCCTCTGGCCTTGTATTTTCTTCTGCAAAGTCTGGACCAATATAACAGCTGTTGCTCTGTAGACGTTGTCCCTCTTTCTCTATGGGGATAGTACTCTGCAGTCTCAATTCTTTTTTGATATTGTCTGAAGGTGACTCATCAAAATCCATTTCAACTAATGATGTATTTATCAGAGGCTCAGCCTTCACATCAAGATTTGCTTCCTCTTTTTCTAAAGAAGGTGTATGGGGGAAAAAAGAAATAATGGTCATGTGCTGTGGTTCATGCTTTGCTGAACTTAAACACTACCCATACAAGACACTTATGACTATCTATGCACTATAACAGTGGTGTTTGATGCTTATCTTGACTCTGTACTTTCTTTTTCTCAACTACACATTGTAAAAAGATAAAGGTTAAAGGCATTTCAGAACTATTAAGCAATAGTTAAACAATGTATTTTTGAAAATTACAAAATATTTTCCATGCAACAAGCATTTAAACAAAGCACAGCAGAGAAGCTTTAAAACAGAGGTAAAATATGTCAGACCTATGCACACATTTGTAAAATGCTTAGCTCTCAAGGCTTTTTTCCATCCATAAGTCTTGAAGCTTTTATTCCATACACAGAGGGCAAGAACACTTGATACAGCCAATGGGGACATAGATGTTAAACTTTCTACTCCTACAGGACTCAATCCCTTGAGCTATGACAGGACTTCTTTGCAGTTCTAACAGTTGCTACCAACCTTCAGGGACTGAGGTGACAGTCAAAAGTCAGTACAGTGCTGACAGGAGTTTTTATACCTGCCAAAAGTCTCTCTTTTCACTTCAGCACCCTCCAGGGCTTAGATATCTCATCTTGGAGTCAAATGAACCTAGATTACTGGTGCAAAGAAATCACATACTCCATGGTAAAGTCTGGCTCTACATTTGCAATCATTCTGAGCCAAAATAGAAAATTGTAACATAGAACAATGGCAGCCAAACACAAAAATCACAAATTTATGTTTCACTATAAAAATTAACAATGTATGTATATAAGCCCTTCCATAAAGAACACATAGTTTATCTTTTCTCAAAACAGAGAAGTAACCAAATTTAAATGCTGCAACTTGGATGAACTTTCTCGAAAAAAACCCCTCACATTGGTACAACAGCAACCAAATACAAGCTGTCCATCAATACACCAAGCCTAGAAAGAGTAAGGGTTTTGTTATAGTATTGAGATTCACCAGTCCCAGCTCAGTTTTGAGTTCAGGTAATGAAAGATGGATATTTTATAAACTTTCAATTCATGAAGTGTGTCAGGAGAAATGTAAAACCCACACTGAAGAAGTATAAATAAACAATCCTCTAATATAACCTCAATGACTGCCCTGATGCAGTGTCCTGTAAACAAGTTTGTGATCAAAAGGCAAAATTACCTTGAGGAACAAATCATTTGACTCACTGTTGATATTGGTATCTATCTTTAAAAGGCACTTCAGTGTACAGAATAGGGAAATGAAAGAACTCCTAGGAGATACATAAACATTTTCTTACCTGTTCTGAAAACCTTTTTGATAAATAATTAAAAATGCCCATTTAAATCTAAAAGCAATTCAATTTCTAGATTTCTATACAATTCCCTTGACCAGAATTTGTAAATGATATTGACAATACTTTTTTTAATTTTAGTGCATTTTATTTTTATTGTTTTTGTTATACTCTCTAGTTTTGTTTTAATCCTGATAAGTGAACATTGAAGGACCAGATCTACTGCACAGCCATCCTTCAGTCAACTTCTTCAGTAAACTCTAATGAGTCATAAGCATTTTCTAAAGCTCTCCTCTCTGCCTAGCTAAGCTTGCTATGCTGTGTGGAGCTTACCCAATATGACTATCCCCCCCTTCTTCTCCCTACTTTAAAGCATGGCACTAGAACATCTGCTAGAACAGAGGAAAATAATATACAGCAGTTATCATTTTGGGAGTTTTCAACAGACATATCCATGTAAACAGAAGTAACTAAATGACATCCCACTCAATGACATTGGGTCATATGTAAGCTTCATATAAAACACACTTATGTCCTCAAGACATTGATAATGTTCAGATTCAGTGATACTCTCTCTAAGTGTTAAGGCAAGTGTTTTCCTGAAGACACACCCAAAATGTCAATCTCTCAGAGCTTGTGTCACTGATAGATTCCTAGCACCCATAAAGACCTAGAAACATGAAGTGCTTTCTCACCCTCTGTCTGGTCACTGCTTGCCAAAAAGCTTTCGGATTTGTTCCGATCTTGGAATATATTGCCACATTTTGCATCACTTGCCTCAGTTATGCTGAAAAACAAGAAGATTAAGAAAAATTAATGCTTCATATACTTTTATATTTACATCACAGTACAACGAAATTTTACAAGTGACTTTACAATGTACGTGAAGGCCTTCATAGCATTTATCTACTTCCTAAAGTTTGCATGTTCAGCTTTGGTTATTATTTTACAAGAAAAAATTTAAATGGATATTAAAGCCCACTGAGTAAGACACAGAGATTTTCTTTAACAGCATTTGACAGAATTCCAACAGACGTATCAGAGCACACACACACAGAACGCATAACTCCAGGCATAACTTTAGACTGCAAATTACTGTAGTGGGCTTTTCACTCAACATTCAACCTCTGGATAGCAGTCTGAATCTAAGTCATCCCTAGTAAGAATAATCATAATTTTAAGTCAAGGAAGCTAACAATTAAAAACTGCTATAGTCTTTGTCAAAGTAATGTTAAGTAAGCAGTGTCTCAGATATTTTAAGACAAGTCTTGCATGTGATCTAAAAGCCAGACCTATATTTTTCACTGGGTAATAACTGATGACCTTTTCACTCTCACTTTCAAAATCTTCACTTTGTTACGAAAGTTCATACAGATGATGACCTCTTCATACATTTCAGCAATTCAGCTGCAATAGCTCAAGTTTCTCCTACCACAACAGTCAACTCTGGGGAACTAACGCCCTGACCTCCAACCAATTTTCAATATCTTCTTAAAAATCCCAACCCAAATGGAAAATAGGCCAGCATGCCAAGGTCTGGTACTTGGAGGTCATGATCTATTATATCTGAAACTTGCTGTAAGGACTATCTTTCAACACTGAAATTTTTCTAAACCATATCACCGAGCTTCTTTCTCAAAACTCAAAATTTGTAGTTCCAAAAACCCCCAAATTAACTTTGACATAATGTGATTACAACAGTCTTCAGCAAGAAGCTTTTACAGAAGTGTTCTACATTTGGAGGCTGCAATGAAACAAGAATGTTTTTTGTTATTTTTCAGGTAGATAGGTATGTCACTGCAGATAAAATAGGTAAAATGAGAAATTCCTTAAGCTGGTGTTTTCTCACTTAACAGGCTATTTACAAAAGAATGCCAGGAGGAACACTGAGTAAAATTACACCAGTTAACCAAAACATTTCTAGAGAAGCTAAATTAATTTCCTTTTTCTTGGATGTGAACAGAAAACAAGGATGTATAAACAACTAATATCAGACTAAGCAAACTGAACAGTAAGAAGAATACATTTAACTTCTAATTAAACAGCCTCCTTTTAACAAGATTATGAAGCTCTCCATCAATGGTTGTAACTAGTATTGATCAGAATTAGGTTTCCATTATTAAGCTATCCTAAGATGAAGTTATAGATAAGTGTAGTGGAAAATATTTTTGACTGAACCATTAAGCACTATTTGCCATGGAGAAAGGCATGAAATATCTAATAAAATGTGAAATTAAGAGTTCACAGAAAACAAGTAAGGATACCTGAAGAGAAGCAGCGTATCCTTTCCTGCTTCTAGAAAGTAGGGATGAAAGTAAAGTATTAAATTCAACTGCAACAACAAAAAAGTTGAAAAACACCTACCATAAGTGTGAAGATCTTTCTCCATTTACTACCTGATAGAGATTCTCCAGTAATTTTTCATCCCAGTATAGGTCACAAAACTTCTCACAAATTCTATCAGAGAACACACCAAACTTAATTTCCTTTAAGTTTAAAATGAAGTTACCTTGTTTAAAATAAGAACAGAAACAAACAAAAGAGGGAGAAAAAAGACATTAATAACAATATTCTCAGAAATCAATTACAATAATATACAGAAGAAAATGCACATACCCATATCAAAAACTTCAGCTCCATTCTCTAGATAGCCATCAAATGCAAACTCCTCTTGTATAAGATGAATCACTTTCTGAAGTAAAGCATCACTTGTTCTGTTCTGATGGGGTAGGACTTTATCATCAAAGAAATTATAATTGTCTTTATTCACTGAGGTACATGGTGTGTGTTCTTGTTCAGTGAAAATACTGTCTACACTGGTAGCACACTCAGTTTCTTGGCAGTTGGTTTGAATAACTGGGCTTCTTTTATCAAACTTGTTCTGTGTGTCAGTAGTCTCATGACTTTGCACATTACCAAGGGAAGCATCTTCTGTTTGCATGCTCATTTTATAACTTGCAATAGTACTTGAAAGTAACACTGGCAAACTATGATAACAATCATAAGCAATTCTGGAACGAAGAGGCTTATTTTGTATTTGCTCTGATACAGCTAAATGTACCGGTACAAATGTCAACACTCTTTTCTCTGAGTCCTGTTTGAGAATTATGTTATTTATATGAAGAAAATTAGGAGACGTAGGACAAGCTAAGGAGCTGGAAGGATCTTCAGATAAAATGCTTTTTCCTTGTAGAATATGTGAGGAATCTGATGGTGATGGTAATGTAACTGAAGAAGTAAACATATTGACTGATTTTTGCTCTTCTGAGGATAACTGGAATGAGTGGCCTGGAACTTGTAAATCACACTCAGATGTTTCAGGTGCAGTTTCAACAACATCTGTGTACTCAATACCACAGCGTTTAGAGTCTTCTACATATCCTGAGTTGTTGTGGTCCATATGGTCTTCTTTTCTTTTCTCTTTCTTGAATTGCTCAGAAACTGGTGCATGAACCTCTCTGGAAAAGAACAAAGGAATTTTTTTAAGGACAATTCCAGTACATTTAACAATGAAGTCTAAATTTTAACTTATTCTTCTTTAGGATATACTAACTTTGTTAGATTTGCATCTTGTTGCAGAATAATAGGCTTAAAGTGAGTTGCAGGAGAGGTGAATGCAACAGGTAATCTAGCTTTCTCACAATTTAGTGAAATCTGGCATGGTACTGGTCCTTTAACTGCTACAAGTTTACTTTCACTGGTAAAAGGCACAAATCCTAAAAACAAAAACACAGAAAGATGAACAATATGAAAACTATAAATGCAAGGTAAATAACAATCAATTTAGATAGAAAAACAGTTGTACATCAGACTGAGAAAAATATTACATGAAGTACTGATCTAGAAAATACTAAAACAAAGTAAACATGTCAGAGCCTGACTGCTTACCTAGACTTGACTCTGAAGAGTCCATTTCCATTTCATGTTTTTCATTTTTAAATTCAAAAGCAAGCTGATCTTGGGACAAGACTTCTTCCTTAACAGCCTAACAAAAATTGAAGCCCAAATTGAATTTATTAGCATATTCTTTGTTTAAATTCTGCTCAGCACGTTACTTCAAAAAAACCCCAAGCCTCATATAGATCTAGAATGTTGCAAAGCAACAACCTGGTCATGCCAAGGTGGAATTTTAAAATAAATTACATACAGAATTCTAAGGACTGGTAGAACTATTTAGAAATCTTGATAACACTCTGTTTCAAATCAGAACTTTAAGGTAATCAAAGTTTTGAACAAAGTCAGTTCCATGGATTGACTGAATGCTGCATGCATTACATACACACATTTGAAACATAAACACAACACAACAATTACGTATTACTGTCTTCTGATAAGAGGGGTGCTAAATAAAAAGACAGATTATGAAATTAAGTCACTGTTCTTCACCCATACAGATTGTGGTGTCAGAGCATCACGACCTGTGGAGTGATCATTCTGAAAGCAAGACCTAGGAAAAAGCAACACCTATAGACTACCTGAAAATAAATAAAAAACCCCCCAAACCCAACAAACCCCGAACAACAACAAAACCAAATCTAACAACACTTGCAGGGCACAAAATCTTACTGGAAAATATTTACTGAATTAATTGAAAAAATATACAGAATTAAAGAAAGGTGGTACTCTTACCTCAAAGACAGATTTACTCAATAAGATCAAAATATTTTTGCTGTCTATACCTTGTTCAAGTAAATAATGACTGCATGTCTAAAAAAAAGACAAAATGTAATCTTCAGTCAGTAAATAAGTTTTCAATCAAGTGAGGTATTCTTGGACAAGGACAAAGTCAAGATTAATAGTCAATTAGAAGTAATCTAAGTTTAGAAAGTCTTATGAACCTACTCAGAGTACCTTATTGACAATTTCAATATAAATTAAAAACACACCCCTCTGAGTCCCTAAGGAGGTAACTTTAAAAATAAAATCCCAAAGTGAATGGTTATGATTTAATTAGATACCAGTCTACTACAAATACTAAATCATTATTTTTATTTTCAAATCACTAAAATGAGACTTAGACACAACTAGACTTCACATAAAATTGCTTAAATCTAGCAACCTTAATTGCAGCAGCTACAGAAGGTCTTTCATCAGGGTTTTTTCTTGCCATATCCAGAAGTAGTTTTTTTAATTTTCTTGGCAATACTAGTTTATGACTTGGTGGAACACTGTATTTTGCAGCCATCCATAGAACTGCAGCAACACCATAAATGCAGACCTATTGGTATAACGTAAGAGACAGGAAAGATATAAGCAGACAAAAAAAATAGCCTCCACTTCAAAAACAATTCCAGCAAATTATCCAAAAATTCCTCCCCATTCCCTGCCAAAAAAAAAAAAATTTACAAAGCTTTCAAAGTACAGATTACATTCATGGTTTTTCAAGGTGCTGATGAAAATCCCAGCCCATTTTGAAAACTACTTGATGCAGGGCCAATAATTTTCTACTGTTGGAATAACAGACTTCGTCTTAGTCTTTGTCTAGGGAAATCATTCAGGAAAAAAGTATTTTAGAACCACTTTGAAGAATTCCTTTCTCATGTATAAAGATTGCTGCAAGCCTCAGAGTTCTACCATAAAACCAGGCCAATCACAATTTATTTAAAAAAGGTCATGATAATTCAGCCAGTAAGTGGTACACAGTAATTATAAGCTAGCCAGTAGAACTCGTATTTTACAGAGAAGATTACACCTGTCAGAAGACTGAGGTACTGCATATTTATTTTAGCAATTATTGTGCTACCTGCAGCTAAACCAACTGAAGTTCCCTCAATAAGGGACCTTGAAATGTACTTGTTCTTCACAAGCTTTCTTGTTTCATTTGAAGAATTACAGTTTTAAGACAGTCAGACTTTGTCCACTTAATGCTTAGTTTACCTATGTTAATGTACTATAAATGCAACTTTAACAAATTTAAAGCACAATACTTCATGTTGCCTCTGAAAGATATTAAAAAGGTTCAGTGGACAGAAACCTAAGCACAGCATTAAATAATGTGGTCCCACAAAACAATGTGTTCTAGTACTCTTTCAAGCAAAGTGAACAGCAATCAACAGAATGTAACAAGGCAGTTCACTATAAAGGAAATAATCTGTGAACTATTTGAACTATTGAGCAAAAGCTACTAATAGCTACAAAAAAATTTGAAGTAGGAGAAAGGAACTCCATTAAAACAAAAAAAATTCTTCCCCTTAGGCTCAGGATTGCAAGATTACCCAAAATTTATTAATTTAGGAAAATCTTGCCATCCAGTCCATCATATTCTTCAAAGAAAGTTTTTTTTTACTTTTATCGTGACTGGTACTACAGAGTCTTCATTCTCCTACCATTATTTGAACTAAATGTTCATAACCTGAAAGTTATACCATTATCAGGAAAAAAGCAAGGAAATGGGTCAGCTTATTTTATATATAATGTTGTAGAAAAATAAGGAAACAGATTAGTTTAGATACTCTAAAGAAAATGAACAAAGCACACAGTCTTTAGGATTATTAATTTCTACTGTCTGGTGAAACCGCTCTATTGTATTTCAGGGTTAGTTTAAGCTTCTGAAGCCTTTGAAAAACCTGCACATTGGATCAAAGCACTTGAAGAAATTTTAAGGAAGATATACAAACATTTTCTAGTTACAGAAATTTGAATGTCTTTAGTATATTTTTTATGAAAACCTTTTTTCTGAATCATGATTATTATGTCTAATTTCAAAGAATTCATGGGACACAAGGTGCATATTAGCTAATCTCTTTTCTTGTTACATAATTCTGTTTCCCTGACTTCAAAGATCACTGTTTGCAATTCAGATGCAGTTGCAGTGGAGACACATTCACCTGTATTTGACATTTTTATTATATTCAGTCTAAGAGCACCTTATGGCTTTTATCTATAGCAAGAAGCTCTAGGAAAACCGTATTGGTAAGAGACATAATTCATAATGTTCCCATAGTAAAAACATACTGATAACGATATTTTTATCCAATCTTCTAAATGTGATTAATGTCTGGGATTTAGCCTAGAGTGAACTTCAGAATGTGAAAACATGACTTCAAAGTCTATCTTACTGCTAACAAGCTGAAAATAATTAAGTCTTATGGAAAACTATTGAATAACAGNTGATCTTAGTGTGAACTTCAGAATGTGAAAACATGACTTCAAAGTCTATCTTACTGCTAACAAGCTGAAAATAATTAAGTCTTATGGAAAACTATTGAATAACGGATTTTTGGCACTTCTTCCAAGAACTCTGAAAGGCAAAATTATAAAAGCAACTAATTCATGGGAGATCAATATGTTAAAAAAATCCCCACAGATAACCAAGAAATACTGGGAGAAATGAAAAATATTAACACAATCTTAGAAGAGTTTAGCTTTCTTCCTCAAGTAGCAGAGGGATAAAACTGTCTTTTGATAAAATAAAAAGCAACCTATATAACCTACCACATTACCTTCTCAGTATCTACATCCTCTTCTTCAATTTCAGGAGCTAAATAAAACACATCACAAGATTCTAAATGAGAAAAGAAATCAGAAATAAAAGGTAAGACATTTGCCTTCTTCTCCACTCCCCCTCTAAAGACATGAAAGTCAAGCATGCAGTGTATTAGTTTACCTTCACCTTTTGGAGCAGAAAAGAGGATATTTCCATGGTAGTCAATCAGCACGGAGTCCAAACATAAGACCACTGCAAAAGAAATCACAAAAGAGCAAGGCATAATAAGTATCTGTTCCTGTAACTATTTGAAACTAATAAAAATAAATAATTTAAAAAAGAATTTGCAGTGTCAGTAATTACCCTATGATAAATGATGCTTTAAATAACACTTATGCTAGAACAGATACCGGCCAACAAAGAGACAGTAGATGTGTAATTACCCAAAGCAACTCCTGCAGAACAAAGACAAAACCTGGAAGTTTATTTTCTTTTACCCAGCACTGAAAAGGTAAAGAAAGAAACAAAACATAAAAAAAGAAATATAACAGGTAGATGTATTCTAGTATTCTCATAACATATCAAAAAAACATAGATAATTTATCTTAAGCATTTAAGTCTCTCCTTTCTTTCCTCCTCTAACCCTACAAAAATAGAGGGTCATTATCTGGAGAAAGCTGAGACATATGTGGCCAGATCCAAAACTCCTCTAGGTGTGACAGGATATGAACTGTTTTGCACAGTTATAATCACACACACACTCTCTCACTGAAGAAACATTACAGAGGTCAGTATGTGCAAGGCCATGATATTTTCCATAGATAAAAAAGAAATAATGGAATTCTAAAACTATTTTAAATGATGTCATGCCTTCAGGAGCTTAATATTAAGGTCACGAGATCACGTTATATAAATCTGATGATGAAAAACTTGTGATAACAGTGTCTCTCTATTTAATAACTTCAAAGCATACTGTAATTTAACGTTTCAATATAATAAGCCAACTGGCCAGCAGTGTAGTCCTGTCTTTGTGGACTACCATCAAATACACTGTCTTCTTATTAAAAACAGAGTACTAGAAGAATAGATTCTTGCATTAAATAAGAGATTAAAGCATTAAATTGATTAATTACTTAAAATATTAAATAGTTCTAAGAGCAAAACAAATATTAATTTATTATTAAATAAGTAATTGAAGAGGTCTCAGAGAAAAAAAATAAAGTAAGAAAAAAAGGAAATACTACTTTTGCTTTTCTAGTTACTCGTACAAAACACATAAATAAAGGCTTGTCTTCTACCTTCAATAATATTTAAGCTGGACCTGAAGCATGTGTCTTGAAAAGCAAAGCCTTCCTGAATGGGAACCTTTGCTAGTTATTTCTGCAGAGGGAGCTTCATGCTCACTGTTCTTGCTTCTCAGCAGTTAATGCCTCTGGGCCTGAGACTGCCACAAAGTTCACACAAACCAGATCTCAAGGTGTTCACTGCAATGTACAAATTCTCACTTGGGCTCCCTAAAGCATCCATGAGCAACATGTAAGCAACATCCTCTGATAAGAGGAGAAGAAATAAGTAAAGTCTCAATGGAGGTTACAAACAACTTTTGTAGCAGAATTGAATTAGAAGAACATATGAAAAGGCTAGCTTTGGGTTATGTTTTCTTAGCCAGATAATTTCTGCTTAGGATAACGAAAAAAGTGTAATCAAGGAGGAAAAGTGGAAGAAAAGCATAAAAGTGGAGGAAAAGGCTGTCTAAGTTAATAAATAAATAAACCAGCTTTCATATATTTAACTATGACTCATCAGCTAACAGTCTTATTCTACCATTGTCAAGACAAAAGGATATTTTAACAATATATATTCAAAATATATATCAGGTTTGCCTTTAATTAGTTATTCCAAAGGAATGCCGAGAGAACTTCATGTGTGTATGTAGGCACCGAAGTAGTAATACCACTGTAAGTCTTCCCACAACTTCCACACAACTACCCTCAGAACAGGCAGAGAACCCTCTCACAGAAACATTCTAAATCTGAAAACAATACTGAATTTCAAGGCAGCTTTATTTGTCAAATATAGCATTTTAAGTAAGGTGTCTTCCATTTGGTGGTTTGTATCATTATATTTACTTCTGTAGGCTATGTAAGGTTCAGATGACAACTCTTTAGTATTTTTAAGACATGCATTCTGGGTGGATGTAAGTGCAGTAACAGAGGCTACCTATGCATATTAAATAAGAATCTGAGCCATTATGTGCAGTCATCTGAAATCTTCACAAACTTTAGGAACATGTTATGAGGCTCAAATAATCCTTCTGTTGCAAGGTATATTAAATACATAGTTTTATGGGTAACTTTTCTCAAAGTGCTCAGAAATCTTCATTTATGGCTAATTTCCTTTCAAACAGTCTTATATCATAAAAGATAAAAGAACTGAAGCTGAAATCCAAAGAGATGCACTAAGTTTTCTGTACCTTACTATCCAATTGTTTATATTCAGTTACAGACTTCAAACTCATCCCTGTTCAAACTCTCAAGGAAATCAAGGAAAAGAAAGGGGGGGGCTGAGAACCTCTGCTCTATTTATCAGAACTGCTACAGGTTTATCATTAGTATAAGCTAAACCAACATTCAGAATGTCTATGGAAATTTAGAATGGTCTTCTTCTGAGTTACATGCAACATATTCCAATTTTGTCAAAGGACAGTTCCCCGTTCCTCTCTCAGAAGTTTACTTCTGATAATTCTTCTGTAAAACGAAGCATGGGGGATGTGGAAGGAGCAATGTCATAACAAGATCTTGGATGCTTTAAAATGACAAAGCCCTGTATAGTCAAAAATACGTCAGGAATCATTTTTCAGAAAGAAATTCAGGCAAAAGAGGAGATTTTAGGTTTACATACATACATATATATATATATATATACACACACATACACAAAACTTATTTCCTCCTGCTTTCAAGTCATAAGTACTTTTCTTAAAATTCACAGTACAGTTTCTCCATCCCCCAAACATCTAAACCCCAAATTTTTTTCACTGCTTGAAGTCATAAAGATTAATTTGATTAATTTCTGCTGCAAAAGCCATCAAATTCAGAATAAAGAAAAAGAAGATATTCTATATATATGGAAGAAAACTTCAATTGAGTAAAATTTCTAAGTCATGATTTAAGAGAGTGAAATCAGAAATATTGTCTATTTTGTTCTGTACACAAAATGAAAGTTGAGATACTTTCAAACAGAATAAAGAAAACATTAACATGGTGAACATAAATAACAAGGCAAAATATTTATTTTTAAGATTATACCTGGATAATCTATGCAAGTCTGTAGAGCACATAAACACTCATGACATAATGCCCAGAGTTCATAATCTTTCAGAGGTCTTCCATATGAGGACAACAGAAGTTTTAGAGAGATCCACTGAAAAAAAAGAGTGAGGATGCAGAAAGTTATTAAAAATAATCACAAATTAAAAACGTTTACTGGTGCAATGAAAAAGTAAATCCTAATATAAAACACATTCAACTAAAAAGCTACAAGAAAATATATTTATTACACTTACCAGTAATGAATTAATACTACTTATTAAAAACATGGCACAGTTAGCTAGCTGTATAAATGAACCAGTAGTTTCTTAATTGCATAATGGAAGAGTAATTCAAGTGAGATCTGAGCAAAAATAGAAGGGCTTCAGGAAAAGCGAGCTGTCTGGAAGGTCTTTCTTACATATTAAGGAAAGACTCTTTTAGAATGTCTACTGTGTAATAGACATCTTTTATGATGAAACAATTACATAATTATAGGGACAACACCTAGACTGAAAAACATAAAATTCAAATGATTGCTATCAACAAAAAAGTCCCACATTCAAATTCTGATTTACCCTGACAGTTGCATTACATGTCTTACCTTAAAGATTTCATCAACATCTCTTGTTCTTCTGTGAAAGATCTTAACAATATTGACAAAATTAATGACAGATTTAATTGAAGTCCAAGCACATAGTTCTTTTTTAATCACTGGCTGCTCAATTTTTCATAACAGAATTTCTTTTTCTGGCTATCAATTTAGCTTTTGATACCTGGCATAATACCTTATTGTGACAAAGGTACTGCTCCATGGAAACTTACTGTTCTTCAGAGACATGCTTTACATTTTGTGATTTTTTTTTTTGGGGTGGTGGTGGTTGGTGTGTGTTTGTGTGAATCTAATAACTTGACGCTGACAGCAGTGCACAGACATGTCCCAGAGCAAACCATGCTAATGGAAAAGCTTATCTCTAGTAGCGGCCCTTGACATCAGCTGGACTTTACAATCTCTGTTCACCTACAAAGGTACACTAAATATTCACTGCAGGCAGAAATGTCCAAGTTAGAGCAGACCAATCCACCTATTTTAAAAAAGGGCACAGCACATTTTCTGTTGTATATGCAGTTCTGAACTAGTCAAATTTAGGCCACTTGAACTGGTCTAAGAAAGGAATTACCAGAAGCAATTCAGGACTAACTCAGGAAAAAACAATCTTCCCCTACCCTCCAAAAACCCCCCAACAAACAAAAAACCAAACAAAAAACCCCCAATCAATCAAGCAAAAAAATCACTCAAACCCAAAAAAAACCCCAAAACCCCTCCAACCAAACCAAAAACATCCCAACACAAAACTGAAGCACAAGAGACAAACAAAACCCCCTCTGAACAGTTCTGTTGTTTTTACAGACACCTTTATAACCCAATCAGTATTTGTAAAATCTAAATAGACTAAAGGTCCCTCTCACACACAGTGGCAGTACATTGTTTGACAAATCGGCCTCTGCACTGTCATTTACTACAGTCAATTCTTCATGATACTGTCTATGAAACACCCTTCAGTGAGGTGCTCTTTGGGTTTTATCATAAAATATGTGATACACAGACTACTGTATTGAATTCATAAAGATCAACAAACAGCTTCAGTGCAATCTATTGAGAAAAGAACCACATTAATTTCTGTAGCTGAAACTTTGTTGATAATTTAATATTAACCAGAATACCTTCTCAAAGAACACAATACTTTGGTTTGTACTGTTTAAATATCTTTGAAGGTGAACCAGGCAAACCGTAATTTTTTAACAAGATGTGCCACGAAACACATCTTTTGATTTACTGAAAACGTTTTATATTCTGTCTACCTCCAACAGATAAAATAAACTTGGTGCTTTTATTCTATCCTCCATTGTGGCACATTGCACAAATTAGTAACTTCAGCCCAGACAGATTTGAAGCCAGGTGATAAGACCCAGTTTCATTTTCAAGTTTTGCTATTACCAGCACCCTGGAGTGCAAAATTCTTTCATCCATGTGTTCTTTTACTGGAAGCTCTTGAACTGTCTGATAAAAAGGCATCAATCACACAGCAGGAAGGAAAAGGCCAGTCAGTCAAAAGAATGAATTAGTCTAGAGAACATACAAGATACTTCTTCATACTGTTGACAGATTACTATTCTTGATCAGTACTGTGTTTCCCCCTCTACAGCACCCTGGTTCTCAAATATCTTTGCTCACAGACACTCGACAAAGAAAGGAGCAGTCAAATCTTCAAATCAACCCTGGACAGCTGACATGAGTGGAGAGAAATTTCACAGACTGACTAAAACATTAAGAAGGTTTTGGGATTTGGGAATATTTTTGTAATAAGTACACAGTAGTGCCACATGTTTCTCTGTAAGAAATCCCTCCTCTTGAAGTTTGTCTCTAGAGGCTCTAAAAGCTGCAGCGAAGAAAGATGGGACTTCCCCTACTGCATATACAAATCCCTCTCACTTCAGGAGAAGATGATGAATGGCTAGCAAGGGCAAGGAGAATCTCTCACTAAACTGGAGACTAAAGTTAGCTGTACAGCAGAAAGCCGAAAAGTATTTCTCATCAATTCTGGGATATCCAAGCTCTTTGGAATAAGAAAGAAATGGTAGACAGAAATTTAAGCACAGCAGCAAAACAGGAATAAACTCTAAGAGCAGCAGCAAAAGAAAACATAACAAAATTCTTTGACAGAATGAATGAGTATGTGGTGAAGCACAATCCATAAAACATAGTGTCAATGATTGATAATAAAATAAGAGGATGAAGAGGCACCAGCAAAATTCTGTTTTAGAAGAAAAAAAAGTCCATAGTAAAAGCAAATCTTAGCAGAAGTGAGAATCACTGCCATCCACAAAATAGCCAGATCAGTCTGAATCAGAAAAAAAAAGGATGTGGTTACAGGTTGGTGAACTTTGTTTAAACGTATATCCTCATTGTTTCTCTGGCAAGCATTCTAAAGAAATAGGAAACTTCAATATTAATATTGCTACCTAGTATTTGTATGCTGGTTGTTCTTCTTTGATGCTAATTACTATCTGCACTGCCATTGTCTCTTACTCAAATTCTAGTCTCTCCCCACCCTGACCATATCAAAAGATTAATTTTTTTCCTGGAAGAAATATCTGAGGTGGTCATTCTTCTAGTGTCCTGATTATTTCAAATTCTCACCTTCCTACATCAGAAAGAGAATTGTGGAAGACTTCAGATGTAAACTGAAGGTGCAGACCTGCTGAGGACCTATGCTTCTTGTAGCAGTTATCCCATGTAGTCAAGATACATGATAAGTCATATTTCATCACACATTTGCATCTGTGACGAAAACCACGTAGTCTGGTTAAAACAGTTTTCAAAGGAAAAATAATACACTTCTCAACCTGAAGTTAGGAGGCAGTTTTTACGGAAGCCTCAGTCCGTAAATAAAGGTATTTAACATAACGCACCTCATACCTCACCTTTTAGGTATTTAACACAATGCACATTTTAATTCCACTGAATCTGCTAACTGTAAACCTCCTTATTTTGGCATATGTCTCAAGTTTGGTCATTTCGGTTTTTAACATGCAAGTCTCTGATTCATGGCTATTGCTATTTCGTAAAACAAAAAAATCCCCACTCAATCACCAAGAAAAAAAAATCTGAAGTGCTGGAAAACACGATTAAAACTTTTTAGTCAAACCACCTTTAGCACACATTGTTTCTTAACTATCTGTTCATATATTTTAGCAAAGCAAGGTCAAGACAACTGTTAAGCATTCATAAGGCCTCAAGTCCACTTCATTTAAGCCATTAACATTATTTTAATATTGATGTTCAACATTCATTAATATATTATCACTAGTGAAATTGCACCAAAGAGGAAACAAATTTATAATCCAATACCTCTTCCTGATTTTTTACATGTTCTAAACCAGACTTTTTCATAACAGAAATTATATATTTCAGTTTTTAAAATATGAAAAAGTTTTTCACTGCCCAGAAATTTTGTTAGAAAATATGAAAAAGTCAAATGACCAATTCTTGCTTATAGTTGCATACTGGGGCCATTTTGTTTTATGCCCAAAGATGGCATTTTAAACCTCACTTGTTGGAAAAGTAAGGTTTTTTTGCAGTTCTGCAAAAATCATTTATGAGATCTTTTACTTAACTGCTGGTACCAGAATTGTAAACCCCAATTTTTAGTAAAGCATTCAGACTATGCAAACATACTCTATTTCATTAATATGATGCTGGTGTGTTTTAAACAGCCAAAAAAATATTTTCATCATTCTTTTCTTAGTAAGTACTATTCTGGGAATTGACAACTTTTCTTTCCTTCAAGTGTTATTTCCCCAGTGTTAAAGTGTCAGCCTCTAGCTACATGGCTTTTCACTTTTCTCATGTTTGAACCGATCTGAATGACCAACAGGAAACAAAGTTGCATATGCCAGGCTCCCATTAACCCTTCCCAAGTAAAGCCCATAGCATTTATATCACAGAGAAACATTTAAAAGGATTAGAGATGAGACACACCTGATTGGAATGAAACTGGTTAGAGAAATAAAAGATCCCCACTCAAACTTGAAGTGAAAAATATTTATTTATGGCATGCAAAACTCTAAAAGTTACTATGAAAACCCTCACAAGATACATTGCAGTAGCCAGACAAAAGCAAGCAAGTATTTTTAGTAATGCTTACTAGCAGTAAAGCACACAACATTAAGAAGCAGTGTTGGAGTATCAGAAAAATACTGTCCACTGGAGAAGTACTGACAGGCAAGAAAAACTGTCTGTTCTCCAGAGTAGACAAGGTTGATCTTCAACCGGATGGGACTGGTATTGCACCTTTTCTAAAGAACATGAAATATTGAAAGAGATGCTAGACATATTATTCTAAAAGCTCTATATGCTGCAATCAGGGCAATCTGTTATAGAAAACTAGTGAAAGGGCAGCACTGCAAAGCTTCTGAGGTATTTTCTATTTACCCCAGAAGACAGAAATCACATTAGCTGGGCCTTCACACTTGTGCTTTTGCAGTAAATAAACAAACTCTCAGACTTAGGTATTTGGTAAAATTCTGACACTAAGAAATGAAAAGGAACTTGAGAGAGAGACATCAGTTGTACTTTTATCACATAAGGCATAGCACAGTATGGTTTTTCTTTTTTGCAATTGTTAGGTAACACAGAGGGAAAACCTGCTATGTTTCAGAAGCCTGAGGAATAAAATCTGTTTTCTAAAAGGAAAAAAAGAAGCTGAAAACATTAACCCCTTCCACTGTTCTAAGAAGACTTGTAATAGAGTCTGCAATACAGTTCAATGACTACTAAAAATGAATTACCTTCCTTCAGAAAACAAAGAAAAATTACCAGGCTAGAAACTCAGCATTTCAGGAAGCTATTTCAGAAGTCTAGGTGTTGCTCACGGATGTTAATATATTTAAAGGGGTTTTTTCCTCCCTACAGCAGTTAAATAATCAAAGAAGATTTTATTACATTTGCTTTTTTTGTTCGTTTTTTGTTTTAAGACCAACAAGATTTTACTAAAGAGCATAATATTTTTATGTGCCAGAACTTGAAAAATTGCTGGAATCAATTACTAAAAAAGAGAATATAGAGCATGAGTCTATCAAACACTTCTTCTACTGAAAAGACAGCTGTAAAACTCTGATACCATAGAGAATCACCACCCTGCTGTCTTCCTTTCAGATCGTATATATCACAACACTGGTTACTAGGGTACCTGGAACAAGAGGTACCTTTTCTAATTCACTGTGATTGTCCCATGAATTCAGCAGGAGCAGGATAACCGTTGGAAGAATGTTTGGAAGAATGAAATTCTGTTCAGGCTGAAAGAACACTTCATTTAAATTGATGATTAAATATTTGAAGAAAAAGAGGATTTCAGAAGTATGGCAGAATAACCTGAAGACGTATTTTGGTTTATTTTCTGTGTGCCAGTCTCAAGTGCTGCTGCAGGAAAACCAAACAGCTTTTAAATCATGCAAGAATTCTGGGGAAAATTATTTTCCTGATACTATCTTCATGTACCAAGAACTAAACTGTTGCCCTGGTAATCCAGTAAGGACAGAGTACAGTCTTATTTCAACATTTTTTTTGCTCCTTGGAAAAGAACCCCTATCTCTACACTTAATTTATGTTCATAAGTGATGGCATAAAAAGATAAAAAAAAAAGGATGCGTCTACAATAAAGGGATCGTTTCTCAGAGTCTGAAAAGAAGAATGCATTTGCAGGATTTAAAAACTAAATAAAGGATTTGATATGCATACAATGAATAACCCCCTCGGAGAGCAAAACCATGCCATGTGGTGCTTATCCATAGCTACTATCCTCCTGAACTATGAATTCAATAAGTGCACATGCTATTGAGGGGAGAAGAGACAAGAAAGGGATAAAAGAAGTTAGGACAGAATCTTCAGTTTGCACTAATTTTTTTAGCTATGATGAACCAAAGGCTCTTTACACACTTGGCAATCATAGGTTACTGCTCCAGTGGAGGTGTTCAGGCAAGGTGAAAAGAAGGATGGATAGAGATTGAATATAACCCTGGGTGCCAGTGCACGGGATAGCTGGAAAATGGGCTATTGGGCAAAGAGAACAAGGCTGAATTGCCCATAGACAAGCAAAGAAAAAACCCAAGATCTTCACTTAAGCATAATTTCTGGAAACACAACGTGAAGTTTGTGCCGCTCATTTTTATCAAGCCACAGCAAGGCTGGAGAAGCATAAATTATCCTGCAGTTTCAGCCAGCAGCTCCCCTATCATGGGGATTGCTTACAACTCTGAGTGTGGCACAAGAGAAAACCATCTAGTCAGAGACCAAACTTGTCCACCCTGAGATATGTAATTTGAGCAGAGGAGACCATACTACAAAGATCTATCAACAAATTCTGGTAGATTCTCCCTCTCTCATTTGGCTATTTATAAAGACTAAATGCATGAGACAACATATTCATCATACTGTGCACATATTTGAATTCTATAACCAAATATACATAACAAACATAGAGACGGCAATTTAAGAACACAGAACAAATACAGCATAGGTACAATTTTCAAAAACTCAAATGTACATGTCAGATTTAAAAGAAAGTGGACTCTTTCACCTCCTGAAGCAGATGGCATACTGCCATTGATTCCAATGAGGTCAGGTTTACAGTCAGGAATTTTGCAATTTTCATAAGCACCTGGGAGGCTCACTTCAAGGCAGTGAACTTTATGCACTGACAGTAACATGAAGACTTAAAAATATACATATGTTTTGGTCATGGTTCTCTTACAAATGTAATCAACTCCTAAGTAATGCTGCTCTAACATGCTAGTGAGTATACTCCATTTGTAAAAAAAAAAAAAATAGAAAAGTTTAAATGGAAGTTGATTTTACAATACTATTAATTTCACTGCAGCACTTTTTTTTTAAGTAAAGAGGGAAAAAGGATCACCATATTTCCAATATTAACTCTTAAAGTGTGCAGATCAGCAAAATTCAATTTTCCAGGACGCTAAAGGGGACGAGGGGGGAAGAAATCACAGTATTTAAGTCATCTCATCTCCACATAAGTGACTACAGCAACTATATAATGAAGACTTTATTTTTACTACCTGCTCATTACTTTTGATTTCTGAACCTCTGCCTCCACAAAGATTATCTTCATTATTGTTTGCACTCATTGCACCGTTGCTTAATTCTGGCGACCTAATTAGGTTTGATCCATGTCTGTTCCCACGGGGTTTTGTTGTTAACACTGAATCCATCTTGTTAAAATGTGGTACATAATTTTCATTTGACCCTTGAAAAGTTTCAGAAGAGTCTTCCAATGCCAGGTAATTGTCTAGCATTTTTGCTCCAGCAATTGACTGATTTGGGCCTTTTAGCATACCAGCTGGTTTTAGCATTTGACAGGTAGCACCAGAACAGTCTTCTTTGTGATCAGATGAAGCAAAACCTATCTTTTTACTATTAATAAGTGACACATGTTCTTCTAGATTCAAGCCAGACACCTGTGTGCATACACACGGAGCTTCTAAATGACGATCATCAACCTGGTGATTCTTTGGTTCTGTTTCTGGTGGACTACTAATAGCAAATGAATTAAGATTTCCCTTTGAAAAAGCAACCTCATTATTATTGTCTAGAGGTAGTAACTCTTGTGTTAGGAAGTTATTTTTCCTAGCTGGTGGTCCACTGTTGGTTACAGAAGTAAAAAAGTTATTTGTATCTGCAGGTTCAAGTGGTAGCTTTGGAAAGGTTTTAATTTTTCTCAAAGAACCTTTCTTAAAAATGCCATCTCTCTCCAGGTCAATAACACATGATTTTATATCCAAAGCAACACTAGCAAAGCTGTCAGCATACATTGCATGTTTATCCTCTTCTTTGCTCTTTTTAGTTTGAGTTGCAAGGTGAGAATGTTGAGTTTGGTCATTATCCAGATCAATTTGCGTTTCCTTTAAACCACTTTCTCTGGCAGTCACCATGGTAACTACAGAAGAGCTGTTATGACAGGTAGTCGTCACATCTTCCACTGCAGACGAATCACCTGCTATGTTGCTTTTCTCATTTGAATACAATTTAGATCCCAAGCTTCTCTGACACATTCTTCCCTTCCACATGTTATCACAGACATCTAGATGAAAAAAAGCAGATGTTTATATTAGATGTGTATTTAAACCTTCTAATCTTTCCTAGTAAATCTTTATATTGCTTTTTCTGCCACTGCTGTTATGTATCTTCAGTATGTTAAACAAATTAACTATTTCTAACAAGTCACTTTGAATCATAAGGGACAATCTAAATATATTAACTATGTTAATTAAGAGTTGTGTGTCCCTTGCTCCCCACCCCCAACCTACAGATATTTAATAATGACTTTTTGAAATCTAGAAAGGAACCTATAACAGGAAAGCACGCAAACATAGTCTTTTAAAAATCATTATATATGTCAGGCAATCTAAAGTTCTCGACTAAATACATTTTAAGGTTACCTTGAGAAGCACCAAATGATTCAATTGAAAGAACTCTTCTTCCAACAGCAGACAGACTTCGACAAATATTACTTGATGAAGCAATCTTCATTTTTTCTTCACATAATGACAAAATACTCTAGAGAAAATTAATGTTAAATACTTATTTAATAATGAATAGATTTGTAGATTTTGACTAAAGCAAGAAATGTTAACTCCCACACTACATTTGAATTTATACTACACTACACTGGAGGTCTTTCTTGCACTATTCATTATACTGTGTGTTTCTATTATGTAGTTGAATTAATTTCTCGTTTTTACCATGGGCTATTATGAAATCATTTAATACAGTTCAAGTTTTAGCCTACAGTTAGAACACCAAGAACAACTGATAAAAATTATCTTGAATGCTATTCTTCATGAATAACATACTGAAAGTGTAAAAAGCTAGCATTTAGTACTTTTTTAAACATGCAGTGATTCACTTGAATTGAGTGACATGGGCAGGATGATGAATGTTACTGAAATTACATTAAAAGTAAACCCCAGATCTTTTAAAAACTGCAAAATACAAATATCTAGAAAGCATTAGAGAAAGCCATCTTTATCAGACCACAAGAAGTAACAGTATTTCATATCTCTAATCTCTAGCCTGAGCACCATTTGATGGCGTTAGCACTGGTCTCACACACAATTAACTACAGATATTCACACATTTGAAAACCTGTCCCTTTGGGCAGGAAGCAGAAGAGAGCTGCCTTTCCAAATACATCCCACCATCTCCTCACACAGCTCTGAGGAGATGCTCTTCCCCATTAACTTACTCAACTGCTCTTCTGGTATTGTGAGTGGAAGGTGCTGTAGGTTCGCACACTGGAGAAAGGAAGGACAGGAAAAAGGGAGCCAGGACTGTGCTGGAGTCCAGCGAAATGCCTAGGAATGCCTATGTGTTTTCCCTCCATATAGCTCCCCCAACTCCTTTCCACCCAAGAAAGTGCCCAGTGGAAAAGGAACAGAAAAGAACCTACTCACAAAGTGATCTTTACATATTACCCTAGACCAGCCCTGACACACACTGTTTTTGGGTTGGTGCAAGTAGTCAGCAATAGCTGACTGGGAGGTGATAGAGAATGCTATACAATCCCTCCTCTGACTATGCTACAAAGCAAACTAATAAAAATACAGCAGCTGATCAAGCAGGCTCCATGTCAGGTACAGTCTGCTGTCTGGGCAGTCCTCAATTGGGGAGCCAATACTTTTTGCTTTATAAAAATGAATCTATTAATTCTTCTGTTGCAGCACTCTTTCTGCAAAGTATTGATGACAAGTGCCATACCATTTAGAATATACACTATCAGCTCAGGAAAAAGAAAAATCTACAAAAAAACCCCCACAGACAAGTAGATAGCACCGTTCTGAAGTAGAAGAATTGAGCCCAAGAAAAGTCACATTGGACAACTGTTATTCTATGGCTACATTCTCCAAGTCTGCAAAAACATTAAAGCAAAACTTTCACATATTAATGTGAAATAACGCTCTATTAGGTAACCAACAGAATATAAATTCTTCGAAAACATCAGCTTGAAGAATCCTATACAGTTTCAAATTATTTCTAACAACTAAAGGTAAACTAAGAGGCTAAGTGGAATAAAACACAAAATCAAATATAGATATATAATGAAATATTACTAAGCTTTTACATATTTACATAAAAACAACTTAGTAGTAATGCTTTGAACAACACTGCTTTGAACATGCTAAGGAACAGAGGTTTCCCGTGGCATGTCTCCCTCCATCCTCTTCTTAAATGCAATCCAATCGTCCTTCGAACTTCACAGTATAATGCCTGTGCTCTTATTTCTAATGATTCTCTCCTTGTAAACTAAATATTAAATGGGAAGAAACAGTTAATGAAATATTTAAGTCCACCAGCGTATTCACCCAACCCTCTTAAAAAAAATCAAAGCACTGTCAAGCATCTACATCATCTTTTCAGTTTGTGTCTCCATTAGAGTAAGAAAAAAAGATTAATTTCTGCTGAGTCTGGAAAAACCTCAGCTTTCTTGCAAAACCCGAGCATATCAAGACCATCTCTCTGTTAACGAGAACACATACAGAAGTATTTGTCTAACTTTTTTTAAACAGAAAATTATGTAGGGCTGTTTTACCTCAATATCTGGCCTATTTTCAGGATTCTCTTCTTGCATTTGTTCCAGCAGAGTGTGCAGATCTCGGCCAAATTCTGATTCTGTCTCAGGTTCTACTATATATTCTATGGCTGCTTTCAGTGTTGCACCCAAAGAGTAGATGTGTGCCTGCATGAAGTTTAAAAAAAAGACATTGAATATGCTACCAATTCTCTCTCTTCTGCCACCAAAGCTTCAAGATCACACAGGACACAGTTTACACTGGTTTCAAATTTAATTTACAATGTAACAGTTTGCTGAAAAGGCAGTCTAATTTAAGCAGGAGGAACAAAGCCAGTTTGAGTCCTGCTTTGGGGGATATACTTGTTGTGAACAAAAGAAAAAATCTTGTGGGGTCCAGCTAGAACTTTTTTTTCTTCCTCATCAATAATCAGTATTACATGTATTACATCAGCCTACAATTAAACATAAAACTCAGACTTCTGTGTTTGTGCAAGTATTAACCTAGAAGCATGCTGGGAGATTGAAGTGACATTCCTCTTAGCAGAGAAACAATATATTCATTTGACAAAAAGCTTTATATATAGCGATATTTTATAAGTGCTATCAAGCATAAAGAAAGCGAGCAGAAAAATTACACATTAAATACTCTGTTTCAGTAAGCTATGCCATTTTGCATTTCTCACTGGACAACAAAACAGAAAACTGAACAAAGTTAGAAAAGAATAAGGAAACAAGGACAAACTTAAAAATACAATACACCTCTATTTAAAGAACCTTTTGTATAAATGTATTATTGCACTGGGCAGTTTAATATTCTTGATATTAGTAAGTTATTCCACGTATATTTGATATGATCTGCAACAAATGACTTCACCTATGTTCCACAAAATGACTATTAAAGAAACAAAACAATCACTCCTCTAAGAACTGGAGGGAAAAAACCATACTGCACGAGTTATAAACATCTGCTACACAGACCAAGACAAGTTAGATGAAATTATGTCATAATAGTGTGGGGACACTTTCGAATTCTGAACAGAATAACCTCTCTTCTCAAGTGAAAAACTTCTGAACAGAATAATCTGTCTCAGTGAGAAATTTTTAAGAATTCAAGTATTTACTATAATACAGAAAAATTGAAAACAATTTCATTATGTTCTCCAAAAGTGGGACAGAAAAATAAGGAGCTTAAAGGCAACAGAAGAATTGGCTTTTACAAATTTTCTTCATCCATACAAGGATTGATGCAAACATTATAGGAACAAGAAGGGCAGAGCAACATATTACCTCATCCCACTTTTTCCAGTTAATAATTTCTGTTCACAGTGGGGTATAACTCATATCCCCTAGTCTGCCTTTAAAAGCACAAGTGTCTGACATGCAAGTGGACAGGCTTTAACTCCATTTTCCTGTCCTGTTTTAATGAAGTTCACTGCATCTTTTCTTGTACAAGAGAAAGGCCAGTCTCACATTGAATAAAGAAAGACTTTTACCTCCCCACAGAGAAAGTTGTTTTGTTGAGATACCTCCTTTCCTTTGACATGCAGGAAAGCTAGTTTTGAAGGTGGTCATTTTAAGTATAGCTTGTAATTAATTTCTATGTTAAAACATTTATTGGGAACTTCAAATGCAGCTCTTTAATCAGTTTCCTGAGCTGGCAGTATTCATGGTTAATGTTACCTGAAGTCTGTCAGAACTGGAGGAATGAGAAAATGAGTTTGTGATCATCCACTAGGTGGGGCATTCCCCAAGTTAATGCATCAAATCTCCTACTTATCACACTGTTTAGGCTCAGGAAGAAAATTTCACTTTCTGGAAAAGGAGAGCAAGCTGGATATATGCAATAAATAAGGCAAATTCTTAAGTATAAAATACATAATGCTCACTAGAAGTGACTGCTCTCAATGAAAACAATCTCACATGCAAGCTAAGGTTTTTTCAGTACGCTCTACGGAGGATAACAATTAGGAAAGGACAGCAAACTACCTTTCTTTTTTTGTTTGGAAGACCAGCCAGAACTGGTACTGAATGTTATTAAAGAATTAAGAGAGCTTTTTTTCCCTAATTTCTGAAAACAACCCCAAACAAACCCACTATCACAAAAACTCAGCAAAACAAACCAACAAAACCCACCATACAAACAAAAAACAAACCAACCCCCATCATCACCACATGCCTCAGTTTAAATCTATATTAAATCTAGATAAGGAGAATAGCTTTTGAATTATAGGTATTTTGCATTACAGGATAATAATATTAATAGCTGATAAATAGGATGCATTTCCAGAAATATCCAAAAGAAAAAAAACAAATAACTCCAAGGCAATCTCTTCACAATTCCTAAAAAGGCTTTTAAGTTAAAGATTAAATGTCACTTGTTACTAAAATACATAAACCATGTCAGCAAGGCTGCCCTACAGTATCAGCTTCAAAAAGGACAGGGGGAAAGGAAGTCACATTAGGAAACCAGCTCTTCAGATTTGGTCTTAGAGAGTACATATACTCTTAGCCCAAAGTTAGCAAACATAACAAGAATTGTAGGTAAATCATTATTGTAGGCCATCACGGAAATAAAGTGCTCTTTAAAAATCACAATGGTAACACAAAAAAAAAGAAATTTGAAAAGAGTCACAAGTCGATTTGAGGTCCTTAAAGTCTTTCTTTCAGCAACATGCTAAGGGAGCTCATGTATTTCAGATAAAAATTTGAAGGTCATAATCATACAAGTAGCTTCAAATCAAAATAATTTTTAATACTAGATTGATTTTCAATACACAAAAAGACACAAGACACACACAGACCCACACAAAAAGATAAAAATTCAAAAAGTGAAGATATTACATTTTTTTAAAATGATCAGGCTGTACTGGAAGCACTCACCAAAGGAGAGGACAGCTTGTGCCATCAGAAATTTTAAATTTTACATCATGATTGAAATACATTCAAAAAAGCTTCTATCAGATCTAATCAAAAGTTATTTGCTTTGCTGTGTGCCATTTTATGACCAAAGCAAGTGATATCAGAGAACAGTAATGATCCACTCTAGTTTTAAAATCTACAAATCAAAAGATCGGGAGAGGAAGTAAAAGCTCCAAGTCTACACACAGACCATGACAGAAGCATTGTTGTTTTACTGTTTGACAGGGCTAAAGAACTAAACTTCTCTAGAAACTCATACTTGCAGAAAAACACTGCAGAAAAAAGTTGACAAAAGAGCTTTTGAATAGTGACTGCATAAGCATTTAGCATATTGCAATTACAGATAATGACCATTTATATTTTGTATTGAGATTTCTTTGAGTTCAGAAATGTCTTCTGAAGAACTGAAAAAGAAAGACCATAATACAACTAGTATTTTATGAAAAGTATTTCTGACTAAATGACAACCTACAGGAATTGTGTACAACAACTCTTAGTTTTGACATTCATATCTGACCTTTATTTTACCTTGCAGATTTTTCTTTTTTTTTTTTTTTTAATTGAGATTGCACAGATATAGATGCTTTCACCTTTTCACAATTCAAAGCATTTAAAGGTTCCGCAAATGAAAGCTTCAGTCTGGTTATAAAACATAAAGTTTTATAAAGAAATCCAAGGTAATGCTTGCAAAAATTACTACTGGGAGAAAACATTTAATATTTACCCATGTCATTTTTCTATGTAGTTACTCTAAAATGTACTATTTTTACGAAAAAGACAGTAATATTCTTCAGCAGAAAAATGAAAGGGAAATAGGCCTATTACTTTTAATACTTTCCTTCATTACAAAGGGAATTAATGCCTTTCTACGTAACTGTAATTACTGGACAGTGCTGTATTAAATATTAGCTTTATATTCATTTGGCACACTGGATGCGTAAATAATTAGTCTGCAGAACGTGTTAAAAGTGCTAAACCAGTGCAAACTATTCACAAAACACATACTCTAGCTTGAATTGGTACCAAATGCTGGAAGAACATTTTCCACCAAAACTGTAAGTGCCATTTGTCCCTTCTACCTACAGTTCACTTCATCTGAAAAAACTCTTCCCCAAAAAACTTCAAAAAAAAAAATTGGGACCATAGGCAGCTACAGGTCAGATTTTCTCACAGCCAATGTTTGCAGGTATTTCAACTCTTAAATTGCCTTTTAATTTACCTACCAAGTAAGTGAAAGCTTTCGAGTTTTAATATGTTTTTAGGCAAACATCAGGTCATCAGTTTATATCACAAAACACAAGCAAGGCTTCACACACATAATCATCTAAAAAGCAATACAACAACATAAGTAGGGGGGCATCAGGCAGCTGGTTGAGGGAGGGGGATTGTCCTGCTCTGCTCTGCACTGGTGCAGCCTCATCTTGAATATTGTGTGCAGTTTTGGGCACCACAATGTAAGAAAGACAGCATCCAAAGGAAGGCAACAAAGGGGGAAGGGCTTTGAGGAGTAGTCGTATGAGGAGCAGCTGAGGGCACTTGGTCTGTTCAGCCTGGAGGAGACTGAGGGGAGACCTCATCGCAGTTACAACTTCCTCATGAGGGGAAGCAGAGGGGCAGGCACTGATCCCTTCTCTGTGGTGACCAGTGACAGGACCAAGGGAATGGCCTGAAGTTGTGTCAGGGGAGGTTTAGGTTGGATATTAGGAAAAGTTTCTTCACCCAGAGGTGGCTGGGTGCTAGAACAGGCTCCCCAGACAAGTGGTCATAGCACCAAGCCTGACAGAGTTCAAGAAGGGTTTGGACAATACTCTCAGGCACATGATGTGACTCTTGGGGATGGTCCTGTGCAGGGCCAGGAGTTGGACTTGATGATTCTTGTGGGTCTCTTCCAACTTAGCATATTCTGTGATTCTGTAAAAATCTAAACACACTTGGAAAGAGCATGTATCAGACACAATATAGCTGAATGTTATCTAGTCCCTGCATTTTACTACGTTATGGTTTCTTGTGACCTCTGTTTATATCATTCAGTTTGAACTGAGGAAGACTACGTAGTACATCAACCTAATCCCAGTTTTATAGTTGTGGACTTCTTGTCTCTAATGATTCATGACAACTGTTTTATCTCCATGAATTTGTCTAAGCTTTATGCACACTCAACCTTTTTGCATCTATGCTTTGCAGCAAGGATTTCCACAGTTTACTGCATAAAAAAGTAGTATTTCATCTTTTTTAAGTCCACCCAT